ATATAAACTGAAAACCTGTGATATCTGTAACCTGTGTTATTTTACATAGGAACATCTTTGGACAAAGACTATTAATATATTTTGCTTAAAACGATATCTTAAAGATTGAAAATATTTCACATGTTCTCACAATAAGTTTCTGTGACATCACAGTGGTGAAATGAGATCTTTCATACTGAAAATCTAAACCTAGGTGTTATAACACTATAACAATTTGAAGTGCTTTTGCTTGAAAACAATATTTAGAAACATGATAAGTTTGTGAAACATTATGTCCCAAGGGGAAGCCATTCGTAAAGACTTACTAAGCAAGGTATCAAATTCTGTTCAAATCTGATGGGTAAAATATTTTTAAAGTCCTGTACCTCTGACAAATGTTGAAAAATTTGAACCATTATCAAACTCATTCAAGATTTTATTGAAAAATATTATACCAAATTTGGTTAAAAACTGATGAAAAATTCATCAGAAACACTCAAATTAACAAGTAGGGCAATATGTGAAGGCCATCAAATAAGGTAGCGAATGGTTGATCTTATCCTCAGCCAAACATGGAATCACTATCTATTAACATTGAAAAGTCAAAGTCAAAGTTTTGTGCAGACAAACTGACACACAGACTAAGAACAATATGCCCCGTACTCCAATCTAAGGGGGATAATATACATCATCATTAAGCATTTCGAAATAAGCACTTATCAAGTGGTTAAGTCTTATCCTGAAATTGCAAATTTCAACAAACAAAATGAAATATATTAATTCTAAGAATATTAACGTATTTACAACTTGCACTAATAGTATGTCTGTCAGACATCCAATTATTATAAATAAATATTTGTATATAAATGCAAGACCTTGGATGGAAAACTACCAAACACTCTAACAAAATAAAATTTTACACAATGAAAAACGTATGTAGTGTCCCCTTTATCTTACTCTGTGTTATTCTTTGTTTCATTTTTACAAATAAAAAAATTAATCTATCTATGGACTCTTTGAGCATAAAAAACCCAACAAACAAAAAATCACACACACAAGGACACAAATCAACATCAGCCGTCCAGCACCAGATCTAGAGATACAATATATACATTATATTCTTTGTTCTCTTAATTACATTGAAAGGTTTCAAAGAAGAAGAACTAGTAATTACAAATAAGTTTAAGCTCCGAGTTTCCACAAATACAAAAATCACAGTCAATAATAAAACAAACATTTTATCTTCAAAACTCAAAGAACACTCACCAGTCATCTTTTTAGTTTACTTTCGTTTTCTCAAAGTTTCCAATTTTCTTTTTACATAAAAATATTTCAGGCAAATCCAATACTTCAAAGAACATTTCACTGATAAAAATTCTTTATAAACCCAGGTAATAAACTTTATTTATTTTACAACAATTGCGAAACAAGTTTTTCCAACTTTATACTAATCACTCTTGTTGGCTTGGATGGAATCACACGATGAGTCTTACCGTGGATGGAGACCTGTGTGTACCCAGGGAAACCCTTATGATCCGGCTGGTGGCCCCCAACCTTTTCACGTCCATTCCAGAAATTGAAGCAAATAATTCTTTGTGAATTATTAAAATGTTTAAATACACGTAAAATGAAATTAATAAAGTCAACATCTTTCTACAAATTAATACATTACATGACCTCTGTATTCCGTCATCCTGTTTAATCCAACACAATGTTTACATCTACTTTTGAGAAATAATCATATCATATCAATGAGCATTGTTCAGTGCTACTCTTCCTAATCTAACACATAACATAATTGAAATTGAATTACAATTTACTGGTGGATTTGGTAAGCAAAATGGGTATTTTTTAAAAACCACAAAATTTTTGCCTCACAAAAATATGTAATTTTACAGAATGTACAATTCTTACATCTTATTCAACAATTGAAAATGGACATTTTTCTGAATATTTAGATTATAAAACTTTTTTCTGAGACATAATACAGTTTCAGGTATTTGCTTTGAGACATTCTGCAGCAGTTGCAAGCAAATACAAGTCATATTAAATAACAAGTGCAGGTATTGTCATATACTGATTAAATATTTGCAAAACTGTTTTAACTGAAGTCAAAATTATCATTGTTTCTTTACATAAACAAATTTCTGAACTTTAGAAAAAAATTCTGAAACGTATTTCTACTTTCAAGAATCTGTATTTGAAATTGAGACTTATACCACGTGTTTTAAAAAGAAAACACATTTGCATCTACATCTTGACTGTCAAAGTTTTAGCTTCTTTAAAATTTATGAACAATAACATGATATTCCAAATATTACCTGTACATAACTGAAGACAAACATATTACATAACAAGGTTTTCCATAAGAGCCGGTCACCGGCCAATTTGACCGGCTACTTTGATCATTTGGCCACCTACACCAATCCAGTTCCATAATAATGTTCCATACACGACTACACGTACATGGCAGGCCAGCCTCCTACTTACACTACACAGTCTACTACCAACAAAATTATGGAAAACCCTGCATAGTAAGAATGCCTTAGTGGAATGATATGAAAAACACCCGATAAAAACAAGAGCATAATCATAATTTCTTAAACAGATCAATCATAATGCATTGTAATATAAGATAATGCGAATATAACAAAATGAAAAAAATATATCATAAACTGTCACCATGCTGAAGGGAACTGACTATCTCTCTGAGATTTTATTTCTATCTTTGTGCCAACAAGATAGAAATAAAATCACAGAGAGTACACTTCGAACTAACAACTGCTTGTTACAATCATTAAAACTACATAAACATCATTCCATCAATTTTTTTCATATTTTGAATTTAAAATGAATTAAAGATTGGTTTCCCACTATTTGAGCAGTTTCACTTACTCATTAAAATGCACAATTAGTAATAATTATCACCTTTAAGAGTAAAATCTGGGTTGAAGATCTAACAGTAAAGATCCTTTATTTTGGAATAAATTTATACCCAGAATCAAAACAACCATGAAAAGTCAGAACACATTTATACCCAGAATCAATATCACCATGAGAGGTCAGAACACATTTATACCCAGAATCAATATCACCACGAAAAGTCCGAACACATTTTTACCCAGATTCAATACAACCATGAGAAATCAGAACACATTTATACCCAGTACCAATACAACCACAGGAACATTATTAGAAAAAAATTACTACCCTGACACAGGATGAAAATTATTTCTACCTCATTTGTTAAATATGTCCATATTTAAGGAACGCTATTACATATCTTGAGGTTTTTTGTTAAAATAATCAATAAATAAGCATAACGTGTAGGCCTCCATCTTATAGTAACTTGATAAGGAACACATTCAATGCATTTCCACATTTCTTTAAATTCCAATATATTATTATAGAGTGAACTCTAAATCAAATGAAAACATAAAATGTAAGAGCAAAATATGTGTGTCATTATTATTTTTTTTTTTTCAATTTCATCTTTAATGCAGTTTTAAATATTTTTCATACACAATAATAAATCTATTCAAATCTTAATATTTCATTTATGAAAAAATAACTAAAATAAATTGAGCTAGAATAAATAAACATATCTATTTATACGATATATCATGAAAAATTACACTCTGTAAATCTATGCTATGCATATGAGCTCAGAAGAAGTGAATGAAAAAAACCTTCAAACTTCAATACAATTTTCATAACATTCAACATCAATAACTGTCTAACTGACTTCCTTCATAACCATTCAAATTTAACTAAGATTTTCACAACATTTGATACTGACATTATATAATTCAGTGTAAATTTTCACAATAAATCTTACTGATGTTTGAAGTAAATATCCCTTTACTTACACATTCAATGCATTTTCAAACAAAATAGAAAAATGTTCTTTAAAATTTTATCAAAATAATTGCTGAAAATATGGCTAATACATGAAGTTTTGGTACACCATTTTTTCTCAAATATTACCACAGAAACAAGTAAAAATTTCTGGAAGTTCTAACAATAGCGACTGACAGCCCTCCCTTTCTAATTGCTGCATCAACATTGTTGGGATATTTATATAAAACTAATTCAATTTTCAAATTTTTTCTTCACAGTCGATCAATCATTTTTTAAGTCATACAATGGACAATTCAAACCCTCTATATCTGTACTAGTAAAACAAATTACTTTCAGGAAGAAATGGGCAGCAAATCTATTCTATCTTAATATCAAATGTCAGTAGGAAATTATAAAGGAAAGTTTTGTCTCTATAATTTAAAGCAAAGTCTGAAATGCTGATATTTTGTAAATAACTATAAAGAACATAGAGATGATTATCTGACAATAAGCCCACTCATGTTTTATGAAGTTTAGTAAAAATGCTAACAAATTCTGTTCCATGGCCCTGCAATCAGCCCTTTATTTACTCGGAAGCAAATTCGATGTCTTGGCACCTTTGACTTACCAAAGAATACATATGGTAGAACGTTCTATGTCTTGGCCCCCTGGGCTTATTAAAGAATAGATATGGTAACTGTCTACAAACTTTAAATTATATATATTCAAGCTAGAATTGACTTCCTTCCTAGAATATTGTCTACAAGTCTGAAGAATATTTCATTCCTGACTTAATTTAGAAACCAATGGCTACTACTAAAATATTGCTATGATGATTATCAAAATTTAACAGATGCTTTGAAATAAAAATGTATGTTGTTTTTGAAGAAAGAGGAATAAATAAATTATTTACTGTAAAAGTTATCATTTTTGAGAGATTATATTTTTCGTTATTTTTCAGGATGGATCAAATTACCAAAATGTTTTTTTTGGAAATATATTATGTCCATTTTAACTGACTACTGTTTTCATTAAATGTTTTTTACTGTACTGAATAATGAGCACCTTCTCCTCTGATAAAGAAATCCTTTTTCTCTTCATGTCATATTCTGACGAGAAAACATTGCTTACTTCATGTTTCACATCAAATATTTGCTTCCTTGTTTACCAATATATATTATCTAATTTGAAGGTAAAGCTGTAAAGGTCGGAGGGCTGTCCTGATTTAGTTCTGTACTCTCGCTCAACACTGTGTTGGAATGTTTTAAAGTGTATAGAGGTGACAGGCAGGTGAAACACTGTGAAATATATCAAACAAATCATGGTTATTAACAACAATTGTTAAAAAAAATAGCTCATGACACAAGTAAGATATGAGACAAATCAATCAGATCTCTTAAAAATTGAACTATGAGAATATGATTCCTATGTAGAAATGGCAGGTGGATTGAGAATGAGGCAGACTTGCTATAAGAAGGTCAAATGGTTTTGTAAATGTTAGCATAAATTTGAAGCTCATTTACTTCACAGATACCAATATTCTTTTTGAATTCTGCATTTTCTGTCATTTCACATCTCTTTGTTCAATGTGGAGTATTTTCTGCACTAAAGAACATAATTCAACAACAATTATATCAGTTAGTTTAACATGTTTATCAACAATGAGTAGCCATGGTCACTTTGAGATGGGGTCTTTCTGTAGTAGCTGGTGGCCATCTCACTGAACAATTCAGAATTTTATATTTTCTGTTTCCTAGCTAAGCATCAATTAAAAAGGTGTTATTTACAAAATATTAGTATAAAAGTATATCTTTCATTTTGAAGAAATTTGAATTATCAGTTTACAGAAGGGTTGTGGTACAATCTTGTTATTACTTGATTGAATGCAAAAACAAAGGGAGGTTATATATATATATATATATATTTATATTCAATATAGAATGAGTATTATATATCCGTACAGATTTTGTATTTTGATTTCTTGTTAAGAGCGTGAATATTTCACCAAATAAATTACCCTAACAATCGCTGTAAAACAGAGCCCTTGAATTATGGTAAATATAGAAAGAAAAGTTCGCTTTAAAATGTCTATATCAAAATAAATATCATAAGGTACGAAAGATATTTTCTTGTGAGATTAATAAAAAAATATATTTTCATGAGTGAGTGCATGAGATACCATAACCACACAGAGTATACCAGTATTATTTACAGATCAATCCATATATTAAAACACAGATCATGTTAGTACCAATACCAATAAAATAATAAAAAAGATTATAAATTTCATCACTGTATCCTATCTATAACAATACCATCACCTTAAGTTTAGTCAATTTTATGACATTAATTAATATAGATACCCTGATTAACAAAGTTCTCTTGTTCTTTCTTGTGCTTTCTCAAAGACAACCTAACATGACCTTAGAGGTCCATAACAATGTCACATGATGTCATCTGTCACAAAAATGTCATACAACTTAAACTGCAACATAAAAATGTCATATGACCTAAGCTGCAACATAAAATCTGTCACAAAAAATCCCATATGACCATAGCTATCACAAAGACATTGTCATATAACAAAAATTGCAGTTTCCATGGAAGCTTAGAAAATATGTATATATTCAACAATAATTATAGAAAATAATTCTACAGATCTACAAATGTATATAAAAAATAAATCATTTACTTCATTTTTAACAATCATTAAAATTTTCTCATGGTAAATGTAGATTGGAGACATATACAATGCCAGAAAATGTGTTTGATGTTACAGTCTGTCAGTTGAAGACGTGTCGTCAACAGCAAGGTTGTATGGGTTTCTCAAAGCCTTTCCAACCAGAGGGCGTGTCAGCTAGAGAAAAATAATGCAATGAGTATATACCATAATGATCACATGCAGATGTAAAATAAGTGTATTTTCTACTACAAATGCTGCATTTTCTACTGCATACACATGATTGGCAATACTAGTAGGAGACCACACCAAATTACTGTCTTAACTGGAGACACCAAATCACATGCCTTAACTGGAGACACCAAATTACTGTCTTAACTGGAGACACCAAATCACATGTCTTAACTGGAGACACCAAATCACATGTCTTAACTGGAGACACCAAATCACATGTCTACACTGGAGACACCATATCACTGTCTATACTGAAAACAACAAATCACAGTCATAACTGGAGACAACAAATCACTGTCTACACTGGAGACAACAAATCACTGTCTACACTGGAGACAACAAATCACTGTCTACACTGGAGGCAAACAAATCACTGTCTACACTGGAGACAACAAATCACGGTCTACACTGGAGGCAAACAAATCACTGTCTACATTGGAGGCAAACAAATCACTGTCTACATTGGAGGCAACAAATCACTGTCTACATTGGAGACAACAAATCACGGTCTACACTGGAGGCAAACAAATCACTGTCTACATTGGAGGCAACAAATCACTGTCTACACTGGAGACAACAAATCACTGTCTACACTGGAGGCAAACAAATCACTGTCTACACTGGAGACAACAAATCACGGTCTACACTGGAGGCAAACAAATCACTGTCTACATTGGAGGCAAACAAATCACTGTCTACATTGGAGGCAACAAATCACTGTCTACATTGGAGACAACAAATCACGGTCTACACTGGAGGCAAACAAATCACTGTCTACATTGGAGGCAAACAAATCACTGTCTACATTGGAGACAACAAATCACGGTCTACACTGGAGGCAAACAAATCACTGTCTACATTGGAGGCAACAAATCACTGTCTACATTGGAGACAACAAATCACGGTCTACACTGGAGGCAAACAAATCACTGTCTACATTGGAGGCAAACAAATCACTGTCTACATTGGAGGCAACAAATCACTGTCTACATTGGAGACAACAAATCACTGTCTACACTGGAGACAACAAATCACTGTCTAAACTGGAGACAACAAATCACTGTCTAAACTGGAGACAACAAATCACTGTCTACACTGGAGACAACAAATCACTGTCTACACTGGAGACAACAAATCACTGTCTACACTGGAGACAACAAATCACTGTCTACACTGGAGACAACAAATTATGGTCTACACTGGAGACACCATATCACTGTCTAAACTGGAGACACCATATCACTGCCTAAACTGGAGACAACACATCATAGTCAAAACTGGAGACAACAAATCACTGTCTACACTGGAGACAACAAATCACTGTCTACACTGGAGACAACAAATCACTGTCTACACTGGAGACAACAAATCACAGCCTACACTGGAGACAACAAATCACTGTCTACACTGGAGACACCATATCACTGTCTACACTGGAGACACCAAATCACTGTCTACACTGGAGACAACAAATCACTGTCTACACTGGAGACACCATATCACTGTCTACACTGGAGACAACAAATCACTGTCTACACTGGAGACAACAAATCACAGCCTACACTGGAGACAACAAATCACTGTCTACACTGGAGACACCATATCACTGTCTACACTGGAGACAACAAATCACTGTCTACACTGGAGACACCATATCACTGTCTACACTGGAGACAACAAATCACTGTCTACACTGGAGACAACAAATCACAGCCTACACTGGAGACAACAAATCACTGTCTACACTGGAGACACCATATCACTGTCTACACTGGAGACAACAAATCACAGCCTACACTGGAGACAACAAATCACTGTCTACACTGGAGACACCATATCACTGTCTACACTGGAGACAACAAATCACTGTCTACACTTGAGACAACAAATCATTGTCTACACTGGAGACAACAAATCACTGTCTACACTGGAGACACCATATCACTGTCTACACTGGAGACAACAAATCACTGTCTACACTGGAGACAACAAATCATGGTCTACACTGGAGACAACAAATCACTGTCTACACTGGAGACAACAAATCACTGTCTACACTGGAGACAACAAATCACTGTCTACACTGGAGACAACAAATCACAGTCTACACTGGAGACAACAAATCACTGTCTACACTGGAGACACCATATCACTGTCTACATTGGAGATAACAAATCACTGTCTACACTGGAGACAACAAATCACTGTCTACACTGGAGACAACAAATCATGGTCTACACTGGAGACAACAAATCGCTGTCTAAACTTGAGACAACAAATCATGGTCTACACTGGAGACAACAAATCGCTGTCAAAACTGGGGACACCAAATCACTGTCTAAACTGGAGACAACAAATCACTGTCTACACTGGAGACAACAAATCACTGTCTAAACTGGAGACAACAAATCACTGTCTAAACTGGAGACAACAAATCACTGTCTACACTGGAGACAACAAATCACTGTCTGGACTGGAGGCAGCAACCATTCACATGGAAAACCATGAAAATTAAGCCTGAATGCAAAAAACATGACATTATTGTATATCTCTGTGTCACTTAAATTATTAAGATATTGGAAATGGTGCTCTGGACACAACTGAAAAAACCCTAAAAAAAAGCACTGGTTTGTTGGTTCTCTGAATACACAAATTGATATGTCCACAGAATGAAAAACACATAATAGTTGTTATAGATTACGTTATTAAGAGAGTAGATCTTGTGAGCAATATCAATCCACGAAATCAAGAGCCATCTATACTGTATATATTTGGAAATACCATGAAAATGGAGCCCTACAAAAATAAAGACTTCACAGTATATGAAGCTCTATGTTATCAATTCTTTGACCTTGAAAAACATTTAATGTTTTAAAATGCAGCATTTTTAGTACTAAGATACAATAAAATGTATTGTTGTTATGTTATGGAATCACTACCATGTACCACCATTGATATACAATGACCAGCATACTGTAAACGTGGAAAATTACGCATAGGCAAAATCTACTCCAACTACACTTAAGTCATTCAACTGTATAAATTTCATCCACAAGAATTAATTTGTGAGGAATTAAAAACACATCAAAATATCCGTTATATATGCAAAGGTCCATTGATCGTGAAAATAACCCTGCACTCAAAGTTTGACACTAGAAATCAAGAAATGATTTCCCTTCCCTCTGCCAAGGAACCACGTTTACAGTATCCATAACCTCATGCACTACTTCTGTCGGCTAATACACAAACTATACTGGTTATATGTAGAGTGTAGATAAAAACTGTAGAAGTCATCACGATAAGGAAGAATATAATGTAAACAAAGAATTACTCACCGGAACCTTCAGAAGAAAATCACACCCCATGATAACTAAACAAAACCATGTCTGCAAAAAAGTCAAACATTTTGTTAGTTACGGATGAAGTTAGTACAAACATACCGCATTTGGAATAACATGCAAATTCTTTTACAGAACATCTCATCCAATTTAACTATCTACGTAACAGTTTGATAATGACATAACTGATTCCCCAGTTGGACATAAGAAGGTATATTGGTTACACCCCCATTAGACAAAGTTTCCTCGGCCACTGCAGTTTCTCCTACACCAAGACCCTTCCTCGATTTCTAAGAATATATCACTTATTACCCATTTGATTTTCATCAGATCAAGTTCATACCGTAAAATAATTAATTTTGGTTTAGGATTTATTTTCAACGCTTTCATGTGTACTTTTAATCCATAAATTTATATGTCTATGTATTGTTAAAATTTGTATAAACAGATTTATTTTGCTGTAATTACCCTTGAAATAAAGTGATTTTTCAAAAAAAAAAAAACCCTGAAAATTGAAACCCACAAATATATAGTATTAGCCAAATATTCGTTTTTGCAATTTAATTTGAGTTTTTTTCTACTTCAGCCTATGGAGAAAGGGGCTAGGAAGGGGGCAGGGACAACTTTTTTTTTTTTTTTTTTAATTTTCTGGTCTCGGCCACCACCCCATTTTGATCCTTGCCCCCTCATTCCCCCAATTTATCTTAATTTCTGTTTTAGCCCAAAGGATAAGTATTTCATGACAGATGTTTATCCATTGCAACAACATATTTACTCCAAACTTACCAAATAGAAGACAAAGAGAAGGTACAGAAATATGATGACAGCCGTGGCAAGATAGATCAACCAATAATGAGGAAAGTCCTGGACAAACACAACCACAAAGTAAATATTGATTGCTATGACAACCAAAGTCAGCACGCTGGCAACAACTCTCATGACACTGAAAAATCAAAGAATCTTCAGTAGTGAAATTCGTTTTTACCTTTGATGGTGCATTTTCTCCCTAAAGAAATAGGCTTTAGTTGGTCAGTCTATAACTCAGTGTAATATTTGCTTATGAGTTCTTGTATTTTTTAGTTATGTCAATGTGACACTCTATCAATCATTTGTCTTCCTTTAAGAAACAGTTATTGTGAATCTCGCTTTACATACAAATGCATCTTAATTTATATAAGTTACAGGAAAACAGCAAGCAGGTCTCCTGGGAGAAGCTGGTGCTAACCTACTAAAAACATAAAGCCCCACACCCCTTTGAAAGCAAGGACAAACATCACATCAGCACATGCTAGCTTGTCTTTCAGCTTTCCGAGAAACACAAACCCTCAAAGGTAAGAGTGTTGAACCAAGCACATACAACATTCACCTGAGATTATATATCTGTAGGCACAACACTCTACTCATCACAGTCCCCTCTCTATGTATAAAGATAACTCTGTAAGGAGCTGTCTTAACAGAGGTGTTTTAAGTTCATGTGAATGCTATGTAAAATACATACAGTACATACTAATGTGTCTTAATATATAATGGTGTCTTTATGTACATATGTGTCCTCATGTACAAAGCTGTATTAATGTACACCTTTGTCTTTGTGTTGAAATGTGTCTTAATGTACAAATGAAATTATTTTATGAATAAAATAAATGAGTCAACAGTCATAATAATAAATAGATATAAATAGTCTTTAAAATAAATTAATACGGGGTAACTATTTCAAGAGGAAATACTTGGGTCAGACATTATATTTTCAAAAAAAAGAAAAAAAAAAAGACCAAGAAACAAATAAAAGTAAGTGGTACATAACCATATTTACTCAAACTTACATTCCATTTACGAATTCTCCCATGATGTAGGTTGCACTAGTAAAAGACAGGATCGGAATAAGAGCAAAAGGAAGTTGAAGACTCATCAATACATTCAGAAGGTCATTCATGCGTGTTAGGTCGTTGATCCCCGAAAACACAGCCACCAAAATAGTAGGGCATATTGCAATACTTCGTGTTAGCAAAACTCGCTGCCAACGTTTCCATTTTAAATTTAAAAACCCCTGTAATAAAAACAGTATGAGGGAAAATAAATTTAAAGTTTGCATCACTTTACTGACATAATAATTAATAGTTTATCTTCAATACATATTCTAGCATGACGCTGTTATTTGATTTCCATCATTTTACGTGTGTTTTCTTACTAGATTTTAGTGTTTCTTGTTTATCTTAGTAAGCATTGCCTAAAATTATCTCAAATGCTAGTTACATTAAAATTAATAAAGAATTTCGTCACAGTCATAGATATCCCTGACAACTAGTTTTCTGACAAAAAGCCAATACAAATTTTATATATACAATACTGTAATTCTCTTTACACCTGTATATATAACATACGTATGGAAACACAACAAAAAATTCTGAAGGATGACCCTGGTTTTATCATTCTTGTGAGTATTATCCTTGTTACACTATCTGTTACCTTTATACCATCTGCACATTAAGACAGAAAGACAGGGATGATTCAATTCTCGGCAATCTTCATGCAGTGAGGAATGATTTTCAAAGCATATACCTAGTAATAATGGATTCTCAAATGTGATGTCAATGAGCTGTCTCACAGAAAACTACTGTAGGTGGCTTACAAACAAAATATCTTCAAAGCTTCAACAATAACCTCATAGTGACAGAGAATTAATTTAAAGTTCTGGCTCTATTAGAAAAAAAAAACCCTTGTACAAAAACATCAACAGCGCCCACAAATCCATATAAAAAACTTACCTCCATAACAAACTGACCGGTGTATGTACCAGTCATTGTAGAACTTTGTCCAGCAGCTAAAATTCCTACAGCCCATATATACATCGCTGCTAGTCCAAACTGACACCCTAAGAACACTCCCTGTAACGGTAACAAAAGATTTATCAGGCTTTTCCCATAACACAATTAAATACTGCAAATTTGTTTTGTTTTCTTTGTTTTATGTCAGATAAATTACAGTAAATATCTGATAATTTAATAACAGTTCTTGATTTTCATGTGTTGATACACAAGGAGTGTAATATTACACAACTTACCCCTTTAAAGATATCCACTTCAAGTGATGAAGTCTAAAAATATACAAGGAAAACAGACTCACTTCGGGAACTTTTGAGTTAAAAAAAATTGTGTTCTCTCATTTCTAATTCTCTTATTTCATGATAAGTTTATATTTTATGTGACACAATCAGATCTGAACATTACCAGCGATTAAAATCACTTTGATGGGAAAAATAAGAAAAAACAAAAGAGAAAAATATCAAAAGTATCAATTACATAACTTACATTGAAAACATCAGCATGTGGGTTGTTGTTCGCCAAGCAGTTGGAATACTATAGGCAAAAATTTTTTGTAGGTTTAGTGTGAACCAATTCACAGTAGTAGGTTGTAGTAGGTTGTAGTAGGTTGAAATGGCAATAAATGTTCAAAAAAGACCACAAAACAAAATTTATGAGCTCTACGTCTTTCCCAATTGTTTGTGCATCAATTTTCTCAAACCAATATGATAAAACAGTAAAACCACTGAAAAAGCAATCTTCAAATTACTTAAATGTTACCAAGCCTTAAAATCTTAGCCTCTTTTAAAGTCATTAAATCCTTTAACAATAACAATCATTACAGATATTATTCCATCATCATGTTGATGATACTATTCCATCATCATGTTGAATTTTGTTATACTCTACTTACCACCTCCGTAACATTCTTGACGTTAAAACCCTCAGCAAATACTGCTGTCACAAACAAATTGATGATAAATGACACGAACAGCGCGATGGCTGCCTCAATGAAAAAATATTTATTAGCCTCCTTAACCTCGTGTTTTTCGGTCTTGTCAATTTCTCGTGACTGAAATCAAGAGTTTAATTTTTGTGAATATATTTAATTAATCCTGAGTCTTATAAGAAGACCTGAATGTAGATAATGTTTATTGCATATATGTCTTATGTCTTATACATCTTTACAACAGCCAGGAAAGAAAAGACCAGAGAGAATAAAAACATAAAGATACTGAATGCTCCAATGAGACAGCATATCTAGTTTGGTCAAGGTCCCCTTGGTTGAGAAGACATAGAAAAAAATGCAAGGTTCTCCAGGGAGCCCACTTTTAGTTCACTCCTACAATTATGAAGTGTTAACTTCAGGGATTACTTACCTTGACAAGAGCAGAATGTAGATAAATATTATGGGGCATTATAATGGCTCCTATAATACCGACTGCTTGAAGGATTTGTTTTGGTCCACACCCATCACAGTAAGGTATAAAAAGTCCCTTCATTACATCCCCTTGGTCTGGCTTCACAATCACATACTGTTTTAAAAAGTCAAAACTATTAAACCTGTGCAGGGTTCAAGAATAATTTACATGTATATATATATTCATTAATCAGAGATGGTCTCTGATTACAGTTAAAATTCACAATCCAGCCATCAAACCTTAAGAACTAATAGCTCACTAACAAACCTCATCCTCAATACTCCAGGGGTTACGATCACTGCACTCCTGAAACATGTCATAGCAGAACTGATGATTCCATGTGCAACACCTTGTGGACAAGACTAGTTTGATCCTTCCATATACATCAAACGAATCTTAAAGTCGCATGACAGTATATTGCAATGGCTTTGAAGTTGAGTGTCGCTCCTATGTATGAGCAAATCAGCCTGTTATAAGTAAGTGTTTTTCTCCCGGAGCCAATCAAATAATTTCACTTCAATTTTGCCATGACATATGCTCCAGGGATGCAGAGAGCGAAGGTGACTGTAGACCCTGGACTATGGAGGATGACAAATCATGAGTTTGAAAAATCACTAAAGCTACAAAATACTGTATCATCTGAAGAAAAATTCCATCTAAAAATTCTGAAAACAAAATAGATGTTTACTGTATTCTATGATAAGGAACAAGGTTTCACCTGGAACTGAGACAGAAGACTTTACTCAGAAACAGATGAAAAAGTGTTTTCCTGTTACCTAGAAACAAGAATTCATCAGAAAAAGCTAGAAAGAAAATCCATTAAACATGAAATTGACTCATCTTTGTGCCAAAGGAATATGTTTTTACAGTACTGGGTCAACAAAAAATAGAACCTCACCTAGTAACCTAGACTGAAAACTTGACCCAAGAACCATGGAACAGAGGAACCTAACTTAAAAATCAAGAAAGATTTTAACTGGTTGTCAAGACATAGGACTTCACTTGATAATCAAGAAACTTTTTTATTCTAGTTTAAATGCAAGCAAAGTTTTGCTTCTGACACAAACTTTTAACGAAGGGCAGCTCAAGACATAAAAGGACAAACAGGAAGATGGAAGGACGGATAGATGGAGAGACAAAGCGGCGACTGTGTGCTCCTCAAAGCAATTTCGGGGAACATAAAAATTATTCAAGATATCTGAAGAACAGTTCTCTACCTAGTAACCACAGCTTTGGATTTCACCTGTAAATAGAAGATTTTTTTTACAGATAACCAATAACAGGCATTTATTCCAGAATGATTACCAACCAGAGTAAGGTTTTTATCTGACAACCACAAACTACATGACTTAAACTGGTACTTCACCAGTAATCAGGGAACATTACCTGATAACCAAAGGTGATGGCCATGGCGGTGATAAGGAACCCAAAGAAAGCCTCCAGCTTCCTTAGACCATATTTGTCAAGCAATAAAAATGTAAATGTGTCAGCAATGGTGATGATCACTCCTGCGTAAAGTGGAATCCTGTAAGTAAGGAACCATCATTGAAAGAAGTGTCTTTTTTTTTGTCTGATACTGTGTAAGTTTTAATTTTTGATAGATCAAATTTTTGTGGTTTTGCCAACAAGTGGGCCTTAATGGTCCCTCGAGTTCTATAAAAGCTTTTTTGATGTAATTAGGTATGATCTCAGCCACATTGTTTTATGTAAAAGGTGCCTAGTACCAATGTATTTTCAAATGTTCATAATTCTAACCAACTTTGAATTATTTCTGATGGAAATAAAACAATTTTTCATATTGATTATAGTAAACTTCATCTTTGAAGGAAATTTGAAACTCTAGAACACTTAATTTTTAAAAGGCACCTTAAAACTATTCTATCTTTGAAATCAGTTCAAAGATTTCTTAGAAGTCAAAAATGTAAATTGCTTATGGACACACAATGACAGACAAAAGATGAATAGAACAGCTCACTTGAAACATTGTTTCATGATCAGGTGACTTAAATTTAGAACAAACTGAATGTATTTTTCACAAAAGTCATAAAACAGACCATGGGTTTCTTTATCACCATATTTTTGTTTTTGAGGTATCAACTTTTTTGAAATTATTCTTTATCCTAGAGAAAGGTGAATAATAAAACCAATCAAAAACAACAATATTTTCAGTACTGGTAATCTCTGTGTTGTGCAATGTAGTATTCAGGTTTGATATACCATACAACATTTATGTAATAACAACTCTTTTATAATATAAAACGGATGACGATTTTCTTTTTTTTTTTTTTTCCTTTTTTTTTTAAAATGACCCCATGTCATCTTCCTCATGCATTACCCTAGTAAGGATACAAATATACACTTACTTTCCATTTGACAAAAGATAAAAGGCTATGGCTGTTCCAATTACCTCCTGCATATCAGATCCTGAAAATAAAAATACTGACATAGAAAGTCCTAATTTTGATATTGAATGAATCTTTGAAGTTAAATAAGAGAGTCAACTGATTACATAAAAATAAAGACAAGGGAATTGTAGGGATAATCATCTTTTGCAAAAAGTCATATGATAAATACATTTACAGAATTAAAATCTGAATGACAAAATATAGCCTTCACATCTCTAAAAAGTAAAAAGCATACATCTGCTACAAGTGGTCCTTTGGACATGCCCCATTTCCTTTGGGGAATAATTCCTTGATATAAATTGGGTTATATCAAAATTGAAAATTTTAAAAATATAATAATGTATTTCAAAAATCATCTCCGTGCCATAAAGGAATAAACTCAACAAAGAGAAAAATACAATATTTACTAACCGTGTTGACACATGTCTTACCTATAATAGCTATCTCAACCATGATCCAAAGGATGAGACGTGGTATCTTAGGGTACTGTGTGTAACATATTTCAGCCAAGTGCATTCCTGTGACAACACCGAGTCTGGCTGACAGACGCTGCATCAGAAGGCCCAGGATTGTGGCTGACATTAGTATCCATAATAACTGTAAAAATCAGAGAACTGAAAGCAGTCAAAGATGCTGTGCATGATTACTTGAAAAATAAAAGTAGCAAATCAGTGTTGAATACCAGAAAATAACTTCTGATCTTTAGTAAGGGTCAAAATATACTACGCTGCTCTTGTAAATTTACAAGGAAAGGGTATTTTAAGTAATAGTGAACATCAATCTCAAAAAGACAAAACTAGATACTGCAAACTTACATAAAACATAAGTCAAGAATCAGGGATGATTTATGACAAAAGGACAGTATTTGGGTATAGCTGATATTTAAGTAACAGCCACCTTGAGTTGAATACTGAGAGAAAATACACCACTTTCTTAATTCTGATGAAAAGGATCAAGTCTATGTCACACAATATTGAATTATAATCTACGTAATGTATGAGTTGTCTTCCCTGGTCCTGTTATCCCATAAATGTACAAATACACCTGAAATTTGTTGTCTCGAAATTTCTTAAGTCAAAAATCTTTTGGAGTTGAAATAATTTCTAATTTCTGATTTTTTTCCTTTTTTTATCTTTGTAATTTTATTTTGGATGACTTGAATTTCATTGAGTCAAAATTTTGTCTGAGTTTAAGTGATTTTTCTTTCCCTTCAACTGTATAAAGCAACTGAAAAAATAATTGTTATCTCAAAATTAATTTTTGTCAGCATGTCTTCCTTAAGAATTCAATCATATACAGAGTCTAAAGGCCCCTGTGTTTCACACACATGGCTTAATATACAGTGCATTAGTTCATAATATACACAATGCTGATCTCTGACAAATAATTTCCAAATATCAAATATCAAATAAAAAGTTGGTTTTTTTATTAGTGACCATACCGTAGCAGTGACTAACCTTTACATTAAATAAGTACCGCGTTGAACACAGAATGAAACCTGATCAGGTTTATAATCAGCGTGATAGACCGGAAACATGTGTAGTAGGCTAAATTGTGTGCATCTTTAAGGAGCGATCAAAATGAAAGTGATTTTAGATTAACAGCAGTAGTACAACACCATGTACAGTCTGATACAAGTTAAAGGTTTTAAGTGCTCCTTATTTCATATGTATATTCTAGTGAAGCCATTTGAACATGATCTGTAATACCAAACATTGTTTATAGTATTGCAGCAAAGTTTGACTTTTGTTTTGGATTTCTTAAAATATATGACCTACATAAGGTAAGTGTACACATGTGTGAACAAAGTGAGTGGTTGACTGCTATTGGTATTACATATGTTGTTTATGTATGAAAAAATAATTAAAACTAGGAAGTAGAAATCTACAGAGTACCTTGCTATCATAGCCCATACATCGTGAAACAGTAATCAATGTCTGGAAACTGATATCGTCAACTTTATTCAGACACTTTGTCAAGAGTCAAAATTTGGATAAGTCGAAATATTTTTCATTGTCCCTTGAATTTCGGGATAACAAGTTTTGACTGTATTAATGTATTTAACTACGCTTACAGTAAGTCCATGAAGTGTAGTGATACAACATGTGTAAGAATATAATAGGGATTGCTTGTTGATACAACATGTGTAAGAGGAAGATTTTCATGTTTTCCCTTTGGTTTTTTGATCATAGTTAGATGCATTTAACCATGACTTATAAAACATGGCATGAAATTATTCCAAAATACATTTGATTCAATTTGTGGAGGAAGATGTGAAAGGTTGGGGTTTTTTTTGTGAAGAAATTGTTTGGTCCAGATCCTAACTCACCCATAAGATGACTATAGACTAGAGGTTGTGTTAGATGAACACAACATCTAAAATTATTATGACCTGTAACCGCACAATGCGAGAAATTTCTGATTAAAAGTAAACTTTTCTTCAAATTTCTGGGAAAAATATGATAGATAGATTATCATTGATTTGTAAGAAGAAAATTAAGCAATTTCTTAAAAAGTGAAAAAGACATTATAAAAACTTATCATTCAATTGTGCTGTGTATGACTGTACAAGCTTGTTATTGACAAAGTATTTATGTTAGTCAAAACCAATAATAATTAAACAATGCCATTTAAAGACCCTTTGTATAAAAATGTCAATCTATTCAAATATCTAAACATATACCTTCTTCCCGCCTTCCTTTAATAGAATCAATGTATTTTGACTTTTAAGCTTCATTAAACCATTATCACAGATAATAACTTACCCTAAATCCTGCCACAGATCCCGCCTGTAGATCTGACTCAATATTTCCAGGGTCAAGATACGCTATACTCATCAAGAAACCAGGGCCTGTAAATGCCCATAGCTTTCTGAAACTGAACAACTCCTGAAATCAATGAAACATAATCTGTTTATAAACATATTCCTTTATTTTGTAATTGTGTCCTATTATCATTATTATGGAAAATAAGAATATATGTCAAGTAATAATTGGTTAAATAGCATTTTGGAAAAAAACCTTTTTGAGAAGGCATTATATTATGAAATGTACCTGGAATGCAGACTTTTCTATACGGAAGGATAAGAATGATTAATATATCCAAATTGTCCAAGAGTGTTGCAAATTAAACAATAATTATACAGGAGAGTTGAAAATTAAACAATCTTTCGCAATACATGTCCCCTATGTCCACAAGTTATTACACTATAATGATTTATAAAGCGAGTGATATTTGCTACTAATTTCGAAGAAAAAAAAATCATATCATAAGTTTGAAATTGTTTTCAATTTAGCAATGCAAGAAAGGAGTATGACAACCTGACAATACATTTTCATCACTGATGTGTAATAAGTATGTTATGGTCATTTGTAAGTGCCGAATGTTTAACCAATATCCTGTAAGGAAATATAGCCACTTGATTGATGATAATTTTCTAAAATAGTGATGTTGACCTTGACTCAACAACCCTATACCTCATATTTGTTCCAGATACTTTAGTGTTTTAAAGGTGTGTGAAGTTGTTGAAAATAATTCAAGAATTAGTCCACTAGAATGCTGACAATTATTTTCTAAAAAAAATAACAATGATGCTGACCTACAACCTTCAAACTCAAACTTGTGCAAGATATCAGGGTCTTTTGAAAGTGTATGAGATTTGATCAACCAAACAATTCTGAAACTCAAACTTGTTCAAGATGTTTTGCTGCTTTGAAAGTTTGATAAGTTTTGTGAAAATCCTTCAAGAAGTAAATTAAGCTGTGAGAGTACTGACAATTATTTTCTAAAAATAGTAAGTGACTTTGACCTTGACCAAACAACTCTGAAACTCAATATTGTTAAATATGTCATGGTCGTTTGTAAGTGTGTGATGTTTGACCAAACAACCCTGAAACTTGAACATGTTCAAGAAATTTAACTTTGATAAGAATCCTGTGTGTGTGTGTGTGTGCGTGCGTGCGTGCGTGCGTGCGTGCGTGTGTGTGTGCGCACGCAGACAGACGGATGAAGATGACAATTTTTTACCCCTCCCCCTCCCATCAAGTATAACCGAGAAGGGTCTAAAATATAACAAATATTTACCATGATGTCAACAGGATTTTGAATTTTGAATTCAGGAAATTGATGCACTTTGATATATCAATATCATGACACACTGCTTTTTTATACATTGAATAATTAAAACACTCTGATATATAGTTTTTAATCAAAATTGTATAAAGTAAGCGAGGTTGTTACTTGATTATCCTGAATTATCCATAATTTATCTTTTAAACATTTTGAGTATAAGGAATTCAGTGTGAGGCGAGTGTGTTCATTGGAAGGTGAAATAATTGGAATCATTCTAGATAGCTGTACCTTTATTTAGCCTTATCTGTTGATATCTCACACAAGTACACTTACCCCTGATGATTTAGGCACTTGTATCTTGTTACTGAAATAGGAAGCATTGTGTTGGTTACTTCCCCTGACAGAAGATGAGGAAAAGGACTGTATCTCTTTGTTCTCTGTGTCTGCCATCTCAGAACCAGTTCCTATACTACCATAGGTTGTACCTTCTGAAACTTCCCCTAGATCGGTGGTGTCATCAATGGTTGCCATGGTAATGCCTTAGTTATTTCATGTGAATTGAATCAAGAAAATGGATCCAAGCCAAATAATCATTCAATCCATTGCTTGATATTCTGAAAAAGAAGAACACTTTGATTGAAACAATGTTATTAATGCTAGAAATCTTTTAGTTCCAAACAACTGTTTGACAAACTAAAGTTGATGTCAAAATGAACAAAGGGCAATAACTCTGTTAATCATATAAATTTAATGATGTAGCCTTATTAGGATTAATAAAATGAAAAGTCAATTATTACTTCTTAAGACCCTTTCACACATTCACGGATGAGACGCTGGATTACCAAAGATCGTTAATCCGGGGCAGTCTGTGGCAATCTGACATTACCATGTACGGACTGTGAACGTATCCGGCGACATCCGGGACCATCAAGGAAAGTCAATCTGATCCGACAAAAAAATTAAACATGGTTAATTTTTTCACTGGACCTACACTGATGAAAATCGTCTGTAGGCTCTGTGTATATCCGTGTTGCAACCGAGTGATCAGTGTAGGCACCATGTTCTAGGAATACTATGGATGTCTTCGGATTATACATGGTTTGTACCCAGGAGCTACACGTTCAGTCACGATGTGAACACAGAACAAGTAAAACACCACCAGGTATCAATACCGTATGTTCCCGTAGATGCCGGAAAGACTACGGTTTCTATACGGATGTACTCGATTTACCTACGGTTATTATGAGCAGGGGAGCAATACATCTTTCAAACTGTCATTCTCTCTTCACTCTCGAAACAGATATCTTTCAACCGCTAATGCCGCCTAAAAGACGTAATGTCTAAAGAGACAATTTGTCCACAAAAACTGCAAGTGAAGTATCAACAGCTTCATCATCGCCAACTGCTTCAGATGCACACTGAGCTAATTCATCTGAACTGGATGATTCAAATCAAAATATCCACACAGAAACACCAAATACCATTGAAAAAACACCGCAACAAGATGTCTTTAACAAGGAGGCCCAAAATAGTGTAAATGAGGCAGCACCAGTACCCGATGATGTGATCAAAACAACTGGTGGTGTAGAAGTAGTGGATTGCAAAGACGAAGTAAATATGAATAATACTAGACAAGTAAAGAGAAAGAAACAACAGCCTTTGGTTCTGACAGAAGAACAGAAGCAGGATCTTGCAGATTGGTACATGGGCCATGAAATATTATACAACAGGTGCCTGAAAGATTACAAAGATACAAAGAAGTTGTGCCTGTTTCAGAAAAAGGAAGCCAGTATGGACCCTATATGCACCGGAGAACAGCTGAAAGTCTGCATCTACTCCATGCGTACTCTGGTAGGAAAGATAACCAAAAAAAAAGTCCAGAGATGAAGCACGACCAAAGACAGACAGAGAACATTGGGTAACAGAGTCATTCAGCTACCTCGAAGATCATATTAAGCATGTTGTCCGCACCTGCTGCAGCTTGAAAGGAACTTGAAGTGCACATGTGATATGGACCCAGATTACATATCAGGTGACAAGGAGGAGGAAGAGAAGAGAGAAGAGTCTGATAACAGCATGATATGCAGTACGGAGCAGCATTTCAAAAAGCCCAGAAAAACTTATTGACCTAAGCCAGCAAAATCTTCTACTGCTTCAAGCATAGATGAACAAAATCGTCAAATCACAAAGAATTTCCACAAGTGAAAATATGCGCTTTCACTGTTTGTGTGGTTCTGTATTTATTGTTGTCTTACCAGCTGTTAATTTCACTTTTCATTGAACAGCAATAGCTTTGTAGCCAATATTCACTGAAAGATCAACACAATACTTCAATCCATTAATACCTTTTCAGTTGCTAGGTCGAGCTGATAAAGTGCACCAATACATGCAAGAGTGGATACAGTCCCAGCCTACTCTCAGTCAGGCCAAGCAACATTTTGTAGAGATGACCTACCACGAGGTCATGCAGATGGAAGACCTGACCTGGATGGATTATCAAATGCAATCATTGCAGATGCAAATGCAATTTAAACAGAGTCGTCTGCAGAGAGGTCATCACCAGTTGTTTGCCTCTCCACCTCTGCAGTCGTTCGTTCCTCATACACCACATACATACTCTAATCCATCTGCACAGGCATTTCCTAATACTCATCCACCTCAGTCATCAACTAAACATCTGACAGTTGACATTCAACATAATGATGCAGGAAATTATATGGGTTCCATTATAAGTCAGGCATGGCAACAAACAATGGGACAATGAATTGGGTATAATCATGTTAGGCATGATAGCTTACAATGAAACATAGATATGACTGTGAACATTTTATTTTTGAACTGTAATCGAGTAAGTGCTTAATAATTAATAATATTGAGTTAGACATGTCAGTTAGCATGCAATGATACCATAACATGATTATAATCATTTCTAGTTTGGACTTTAATTTGAACTGTAATTGACACTGAAGTGAGTGTGTATAGATAATTGTGATAGATATCACTGGTCCCATTTGGCAGCATACGATGACACACTGAAATGCTTGTCAACAGTTTTATTTCCAACTTTAATTTGAACTCTAATTTGGACTTGATGATTAAGTGTTTACTAGTAATGTATACACAAGTAAAGTGAAACATTAACATAATTATTAACATTGACTCCAATTTGCACTTGGTAAATGTTCATGAGTTATTCTAAGAGATATGTTGTGTATACAACATGTAGATTCATACATGTATTTTTGTCTAATAAATATTTGTAATAACACATTAGTTATTCATTGTGTTTAAATTCTGTTGCCGTGGCACATTTCCAGTGTCTAGTTGAGGTATTGAATTAAGTACTGGCGTTACTCCTTGGCACTTCTGGTGGTGTTACCTCTGAAGACAATATCCATGTCCGGCAAATTTTCTCTCCATACTCCTGGAATTGTTTCAAGGGTTTCTAGGTTTTCTTGGTCAACATTATTTACATCCAAAGTAGGGTTTTTTATCCTAAGGATATTATGCAGCACACAACAAGTTAGTGTTATGGTGCTGACTCTGCATAGTTGTTAGAAGACACCTGAATCTGGATGATAGAAGTCCAAATGTGTTTTTTGACTACCCGCCGAGCTCTTGATAGTCAGTAATTTAAAACCCTTTCTTCTAATGACATGTTTCTGTGCAGCATGGGTTTCATCTTCCAGGTTTTAAGCACGAACGCATCATCCCCAACAACAAAATACGGCATGGGTCGGTCATCGTTTGGTAGGGGTTCTGGTAGTCCAATAATTCTATTTTGAAGAGCATCTTTCAGTTCTGTCTCACTAAAGACTCCAGCATCCGAACCTGCACCACTAGCTCTAATATTGACATAGTGGAATTTATCATCAGCATCGACTAATGCCATGAGGACGATGAAATGAAATCATTTATAGTTATAAAAGAGAGAGTCGGAATTTTTGGGGCATTTAAGTGCAATATGCTTGCCATCAATGACCCCAAAATAATGAGGGAAGTTCCATTTTTTGTCAAATCTATCTGCCACTCCCCGCCAACCTTCAGACGATGTTGGCCACACCATAACTTCAGCCAAATATTCCTATATTATTGCTTCACAAACCTAAATAATGAGAATGGAAATGGTATTATAGACAACCCTAAAACCATATTGCAGAGACTTGTTACTGCTACCTGTAGCTAAATAACACAGATTTATAGCAAGCTTTAACCCAGGTTCTAGTGCCTTCCTCCAAAATGTATCTTGCTTTTGAATTCTGGGCTCAACTCTAGCAAGCATTTCTTGAAATGTGTCCAGGTCAATCCGCAGGAAATTCCTGTACCCATTGACATCTTCTGAGGTCTATTGGCCATAGAGTGGCCATCTGAGATACCAGGACTTGATCCACATACGCCTCCCTGCTTGCTTCTTATGCTGTTTCATCTTTTGCTGCAAATGAACAGCTTTTGCAGCCAGTAAATTCAACTGCGTGTCAAACCAGAGCAAGCGATCCAGATCCATATTTATAATTGTTTTGAATACTTGAAGAAAGAAATTAATATTACATCATATGACCTTTCTATATATGATTGCAGGAAGGGATAAACTCTGTGAGACAATCGTGTTAAGACCAGCATAAGCAGTGATATTCCGTGCACACTGTAATCACTCCGGCACCATCCGTTCGATTCTCCAGAGACGTTGGGTAACTACCTTGATCATCCGTAGAGTGACAGCATCATCATGGTTAGCATTGTGTTCAATATGTAACAGGACATCAAAAAGCCGGATGGTCCCGGATGATAACAATTTTTAATCGGTGATGATCCGGCGTCTCATTATATTCAAATTAACACCAGCTTTCCACATTACCATGTGCTAGTGACAGCAGCGATAATATTTTTTAAGAAAAATTTGAGTTTCACTTAGAAAGACATTCACAAACTTTTAAACTGCTTATTTTTGACTTTATTTCTCTCTTAAAAATGGAAAAGGTTCCAAAGTTTTTTATTACTGTTTTGTTACGCCAGTGTCAATACCTACTGGAACAAAAAAATGGAACCAGGAGTTTGATATTGATATGGAAAAGTGGTCAAAAATATATAAACTTCTTAATACAGTAACCAAAAATTGCAACTTAGAATTATATATTTATATTGGTTACTAACCTCTTTCTTTATAAAGCATTGCTTTGGGAATGTAGAGAGGTCCAAGCATTTTTTCAGATATTTGAAAACTTCTTGGATTTATTTTTACTTCAATTTGCCTACAACAATGATTCCTTGCTTTTTGGAATAGTCTCAGAACGTTGTAGCTATTTGGATAATGAGATCTTAATCATTATCAAGCACTATACATTGATAAAGTCTCTTAAGTAATAAAAACAAACAAGTCATAAAGTATTTTGGTTTAAGTGAATGGAACCCTATTCTGGAATCATAGGATGTTTCTACTGATATAATTCCATATTATACATTATATTTTGTGATTTCACTGAGTCAACTAACTATAAGTTTCATATCAGTCACAAGTTATTGATTATGAAACTGTACCTCTCTCTCTTTTTTCTTTCTCCCCTTGTGTGTCTCCCAATCTCTCTCCCTCTCTCTTAAAGGTTTAAGCCTGTAAGATTTCTCTTGCTTATCAAGGTACTCTTTCACTTAACATTTGGGGATGAGGGATGTGTGTTGATAAATTAAAATAAACAAATGTGCGGAGAATAATTCTAAAACCTAAAAATTCATCACGCTGATATGATAGACATTTAAGGTGATGACAATTTGACATCGTGTAGTTCAAGTCATTTGCTTATGATGAAAATGATGACATATAAACAATGATTATGTTATGCATGATGATGGCAATGATTATGATGATGATGTTGGTGATGATAATGTTAATGATGTTGTTGGTAATATCATAACTGTCTGATATAAAATCTGTGTGAGAGAGTGTGAATGTGATATTATGTCATGATGTATACCTTGTAAATTTTCAGGAAATAAAATCTAATGAAATATAAGTTCTAAGCTTGTATTTCAATTACATGAATATCATTTGTATGCGTTTTATTGTTGAATGTTGAATAAAAATATTGTTTGAACTAATGAAAACACCTTTTGGGACCCCTTTTTTTGTAAAAACAATGTAGGTTATTAATTTCTTTTACTGTAAAGTGTGGATATATTCCACCTGTCGCAATAATGTCACATAACTAGCAAACTTACATTTAATCAATTTCAAAATGAATTAAAATACACACCTTAACAATTTTAATGCATAACTGACATCTCATGCGTAACAATCAGCTAGAATATCAACGAACACATGTTGCGCAACACTGTTCTTTTTTATATAATAATTGTATGTCAATGGAAGGTCATAGGGTGTGATAATAACTGAGTAAAATTGATTTGAATATTATGCCTATTCCGTTAAAAGAAATGTCGAATTCTAGGAAACTAATGACTTACCTGTAATTATGTCACATGATCGCTTATATGGCTCGCACCTGTCACCGTTCCTGACAAATAATATAACAGTGACCTCCCTTGATAGCGTTCTCTAATCGAAATCGAAGGTGAAGGTCGACAAACATGCTGACTTCCCGTTGTTGAAAAAAATTGGCGCATCTGTTGAGTGTAGTGAAAGAAGAAATCGCATTTGAAAGAAAAGATATTTTGACAAAATTTAACAACTGAATCAGAAAAAATGCCAAAAGAACTACAGAAAGAGCGAGCACAACTTTTGGAAAAGGTAATGAAGTAACTAAAAAATATCGAAAATATGCCTTTGGCCCATGAATGAAATTCAGAAATTAGTCCAAAAGAGCCGGCCATGACACGACTCAAAAGTTGAAAGGTGTTTTGATGTAAAAATATTAAGGTGTCTTGTATGGTCACTTTATATTTTATTTTACTATCTAGAAAATGTCAGCAATCATCAGAACAGGTTATCAGTCACATGTATTTTGGATAAGGTGTAATTATTTTCTAGAATTCTAACTTCATTCAGACAGTCTAAATCATAAAAAGTCGTTATGAATTGCAAAACTGCACGTGTTTCATCAGGCCATGGTTTTATACAGACTTGGAACATCATCACAATATGTCTAGATTTTGAAAGAGTTTGTATAATTGGTATTAACAAAGATATATACATCCATTGTGATTAAGATTCAGAAAATACTATTGGCAAAATGGACTTTTAACTCAATGGATTGATTTCAGTCATCCTCTGTTAAGTTTTTAAAAACTTTCCAATCATATTTCCACTTCTTGTAAGTTTATTCCCTTAAATCTATTGATAACATGTTTAACAAACATATATTATCAAGAAATCAGTCCAGAATCCAAGCTTATGGGTTGTATGTCAAATTAAATGAACTGAAAGTTTAATATAATGTCCTATCATTACAGACATACATTTTGGAAATACAAATGTGTTTCTTTACTGTATTATTTATAATCATAACTTATCTTATTTTCTTATTGGCTTTTGAATTTTCTATGTTATAACAGGTTTCAGACTTCAAAGAAAAATTCAAAACAGATGTAAGTATAACTTTCTTACATAAATTCATTTGTTAAAATTACTATTCTTTTTCTTACTCTTTGATAGGAATAATATCAGAGTTATCAGAATTGTTAGTATCATAAGAAAAATAAGCTTGATAGAAAAATGAAATGTGAATAGGTTTGCACTTATGTGATATCCATTGATGGAAAGTTAATCTAAAGCAAAATGTAATTTGAAGATGAAAAAGAAATATTGTGATATGTATATGTTGTTCATTATTTTGTCATTTTTCCCATGTTTTATATAATCACTGGAGAAAAAAAGAAAAGAAATTTCAACATTTTTAGTTTTTTTGATACATTTACTCATATTTCAATTTACAGGGAGATCATCTTGTGCAAGATGTATTCCCAAACAAAATCTTAGAGCTTGAAGAATTGTTTCAGGTTGGTATTAGTTGTGGTAGATTTACTAAATGTTCCTGTATCAATGTTGCATTTAGGAAAATAATAATAATAATAAAAGAATTAATAATGACATAATTGGTAAGTGAAAGGTAAACCAATAATTTGAGATCATTGGCATGTTTTACTTACACATAGAAAAAATATAGAATTTTAAAGTGCTTCTGCCAAAGAGATTTATCAGAGGGAAATTGTTTGAAATGCTTAATAACACAAGAAAAAACATACCATATATATATATATATATATATATATATATATTTTTAATGGTGTGTTTATGTCTTTGTATATATAGCTGCATGTATAACGTTCGCATATACAGAATGCAATACTTGTTTTGAAGTGCATTTGTTGGTTCTTTTTCAGACTATGTGCTTGTCCAAAGTTTCAGATATGCATTGTGACTTAAATATTCCTGTGCCAGATCCTGTATTGTTCAACAATGACAATGACTCTGGAGAGGTAATGCTGTATAAAGGATTCATGATCAAGGCCACTTACAAAGTCATTTTCTATATGTATATTGTTGTGATTTCTTCTTATTTAAAAATAAGTTAGTATAATGTAAATGGTAATGAAAAAAAATATGAAAATTGAAACCTGTGATAAGTACACAAAAATATTTCAATGACAGGTGTGTTATTTCAATATGTTAAATGTTGCAAATTTGGAAAAAATAATTATGAAAACTCAGACTATTACAATCGGTAAAGTTTATTGAAGAAAAGTAACCTGATGCAAACCACTGATAAAATGTTTAGAAAGAATATACCAAGTTAAGGTTAATTAATAAAATAAACACTATATCCTTGGAGTGTTTATATTAACTTTGATACGTACTGTGAGCACAGCTTTTTCATCCGTGTGCTTAATTATCTTTCAGAGTGTTTATCAACCTGAAGTCAGGTTTAATTTAACTGTTTGAATATTTTCTAAATCAAAAGACTTTATTCCGTTTTGTGTTCACACTTGACAAAATGTTGACCAACTAACTAACATGCAACAGTGAATGTAGATTTCTGAAAATGTTGCTGTAAAAGGAAAAAAATGTAGTTTCATAATTTCTCTTTAATTGTATATTTCTTTCCTTCCTATTAGCCACAGTCCAAGAAACGTAAAGCAGATAATGACCACACAAACAGTGAAAACAATACCTCTGGTGAGTTGATGAGTCAGATATTGGTATTAAACTGGTGTTGAAGTTGAATAAAATTTCCAAAAATATCCATATACAGTATAAAGTGTTATTTTGTAGGAGAATTTTTAGCTATTTTCGAGGATGTAATGAAGTTATGGAAGGTCAATACAATACCTTTGAATCAAAATTATAAAGAAAATCAAGTTTTGTTTTACAAATTCCATGAAAATTCCATCCACTTTCAAATTTTTGGGTAACTCTATGAAATTAGAACCACCAAAAATTATAAATTTAACAAGTATGTGAATGAATACAGTTTCAAATTTAAACAAGTCACTGAGAAAACTTAGCCATATTTGATGTTTGAACTAACAGTGACATTGATGTGTATTACTGTTCCAGGCACGCCTGTGATGGTGCTTCCTAATGGTGCAGTCCCTTGTAATAAAAAACTGGTGGTACTCTCAGAAAGGATGAAGCCCCTTATATGGGAACTTATAGACCACGCAAATCTGGTAAGACTTCGATGTATAAATACATAATATTTAGTGTGAGGTATTCATTGCTTTGGTTATTTCTAAATGTTTGTTTACCAATACTTATCAATAAGTTATTGACAATGTTATATTAATGCTATATTAAGGTGCATGTTCATTGAATTTGTAATTCAACAGGATTGACAGCATAGAGCCAAAAGTTATCAAGATAATGCACTGTTATGCTGAATGCTAGAGTTGCCATTCAAATTAAACACACTTATAAAAAAAATTGTCGTGAGCAATAGATTATCTTTAAAAATTTTTAAGTCATTGAGAAAACTTAGTCATCATATTTGATGTTTCCGTAAACTTTTCATTCAAACGACTTCTTCTGACATACTGAATGTGTAATACTTGGCACAGAGGATACTGGCATGGAGCTCTACCAAGTTTGTTCAAATGAATGACCTTGACCCACTTTAAAGGTCACAGGGGTCAAATATGTTAAAATCTTTAAACAACTTCTTCTATTAACCAAAAGGCTCAGAGTGTAGATATTGGGCCTGTGACATGCTGGGATAAAGTGCTACTGAAGTTTGTTATATGACCTTGAACGTTCTAGGTCACAGGGGCCAAATATGTTGAAATCTTTAAACGACTTCTCCTCAATAACCAAAATAATATATTGTGTGTGGCATGCTGGGATGAAGGGCTATCAAGTTTGCTTCAAATGAATGACCTTGAACAATCAATGTCTAAATGTTTCTTTAAATAACTTCTTCCAATACTTATAATACTTGGCCCAAGCATGCTGGCATGGAGCCATACAAAGTTTGTTATATTAATGACTATATTAAGGTGCATGTTAAAATATACAAAGGACTTCATGTAATAAGCAAAAGTCTATGAGTGGATTTCTGTAGCATGCTGGGAGGAAAGGCTACCAAGTTTATTCAAATGAATGAGACCCACTTTCAAAAGTTATGTTAAAATATAATGACACTCAACAAGCAAAAGTCCATGATGCTGAATGCTAAGTTGCCATTCAAAGAAACACAGTTTGTTAAAAAAACCCACTTTTAGGTTTGGCTTGCTTTTTGCAATAGATTATCTTTAAAAGGATTTTGTTTTGAATTGAAGACACACTTATTATTATGGCTGCAATTTCCTTCACTCACGTTCTGTGTCTGTTGTAGTTAAAAATGTGGATAGCTTTCCTGATACCAAAAATAGAAGATGGGAACAATTTTGGAGTCTCAATCCAGGTAAGTCACTACAACACTCCAGGTAATGTCACCATACATATTGATATGTCACCTGGTGTATGCTATCATTTGTCCCTGCAAATGTCTGTCAGAAAAATAATGAACAGGATTCTATTGCCTACTATTATTTTGTGAATTAATACATTTTCAACTCATTTTTCATTCTCTAATTTTTGATGACAGGAAGATACGATGGGAGAAGCCAGACAAGTTGAGAGTGAGGCTGCATCATATCTAGAACAAGTCTCCCGTTACTTCATTACAAGAGCAAAACTTGTGTCGAAAGTCGCCAAATACCCGCATATTGTAAGTCAGGACCGTATAATTAAATGTTTTTATCATACATCTGTTATTGAATAAATTTTAGTCAATCCAGAAAAGTATCAGAGAAACAATTATTTTAATGGACAAATCATGTATATAATTAGGTGTGTGGAATTTATTTTTTCATGAAACAGGAAATTAATACATTTTACAAAGTGTGTAATCATTTCATACCTATCATTGTAAAGGAGTAAACACATTTGTTGAAGATTTAAAGTCATAAAACTGGAGTTCTACAGAATGGCTGTAACTGTATACTCTGATACAATGTGCATCATGATACACATACTTCGTTGGATTATTTTCCATATCATACACTTGCTTTTAGTAAAATTCAATGCTGACTTTAAAAGGAACAAGCCAGCTACAATACAGTGTATCAGAATATGAAGTGTACTGTAAAAGCCTTAATTTTCATGGCAGACTTATTTTCCTTGATTTTGTGGGTATTCTTTATCCACAAGTTGAAATGTCCACCAACTTTTGCAGTAAGTAGGAGTAGATTTCTTGAGATATATCTATTCATGAAATCAAGTGGCCATGAAAAGGTGTTCTTTTTCAAACTTTGATAATTTGACCCCTTAGAAAACTAGATTTTACAGTACTGTAATGAAAATATTTACTTGCTAAGTGACCAATAATTAAAAAAAAAGGAAACAGTAGATTATATAAGTCTTTCTTTATTTCTTCTTTCTTTCTTTCTTTCAGTAGAGCATTGAAAATTAAAAAGGAAGAAAAAAAACCCAATTTAACTACTATGACAATAGGCGATATATTTAGAATCTATTTTTAGTCATGTATACTAAATGATGTATTGACTTTATTGTATTGAAATAGGAAGAGATATTCAAAATTGAATAGGAATGCAAATATTTTGATATATATTAAATCAAGGTGAATCATTTCACCACTAGTCTCCAGTTTGAAGGTCTTTCATACACTGGAGATTTTTGGTTATGTCATTTAAATTCAGTGAAATAATTCAATTAATTTAAGTTTTGAATTTTTTGTAAATATCTCATTTTTGGATCAGAATTTTGAATTGAAGACAATTAGCAAAATCATGTCACTTTCTATTTACATTCCTACAGAGTGACTACAGACAGGCAGTGAAGGAACTGGACGAGAAGGGATTCATCAGTCTACGTCTCATCTGCTGTGAACTGAGAAATCATTATGTAAGTAACATGAACAGAGATTTCCTGATAAAAGAGCTGTGATAACTAAAGACCACACAGCTTCAGTCAAAAGCTTCTCACAATGTTAAACCTCTGATATTTTGGAGTAGGTGGGCATGGCATTGGGCCTCTAGCTTTTTGAGTATTCTTTATATTACTCTCTCATCTTCAGATATAAATCAAGGGAAATTTGCTTATTTTCAGTCAACTACCATCAGATTTCTTTTTTCAGTTGAGTCTACATGATCTATGTTGAAAAATTATTTCTCATAAAGTCGTATCAAGGAAAACTGCCTGCATTTTTAGTCAACCATCATTAGATTGAATGTTATGTTTCAGAAGTAAGCAATCATGTTTTGAGAAATATATTATTGTGCATTAAATTAAATCACAAAAAACTGCCTGTATTTTTAACCATAATTATAAGCAGATTTAATATTTAATATTTCAGGCTAGTCTACATGATCTTGTGTTGAAAAATATGGACAAAATCAAGAAACCAAGGAATGCAAATGCACAAAGTTTGTATTAACCTAAAACTTCCCAGAATTCTGATGTTACGACTCGTGCTGGACATGACTTCCCTCGGCGAGATAGGATAGTACCACTCAGTCCATTCCTTTGTTAACATACCAAATGTTGTCTGAGCTATTGATCTACATGAAAAGATCTGTCATTTTCATACAGTAATAACATCATTTTGGAAACAGGGGAACCAAGCTGTCTGAACAATGGATTGTGAAAGAAATTCACCTGAAATATCACCATGAAAATATATCGTTCTCAATTATTTTGACTTCATTCATTAATCAAAAGTTGATTCTGTTAAGCTTTTGAGAATTTTTTTTTTTACGATCCACTGTGTTGTGAAGTGAAGAAAAGCATGCATATACGGTACATAATTTGTATTGATTTGTATTGACAGCCTTCAGTGAATACTTCATTTTGATAATTTGAGCGGTATGTGTGGGTCTTCATACTGATTTTAGAATGTATGATGGCACTTGCCATATAAAGCAAACATGTAAATAAGGTAAACAGATGACTGGTTAAAATATTCATAGTTTAAATTTTTCACCTTATTTCTTACAATTTCTCAAAAAACTGAAATTCAGACTTAAGTTTTCTTTCAACATTTTTCTTTGTGAGTAAATAACATGTACATGGGTTTCAGTTTGAAATGCAAACAATGAACAATTCATAATTTTCATTATGATTAGTGCATGTACATCAATGAAATTGACCAGAATAAACATTCAAAAGATTTGGATTTCTATGTATCAGCATATTTTGCATGCAGTTTAGAATGATTCATGGAAGATGAAATTAAGGATCAGAGAAAAAAAGAAGGACATCATATAACTGGGTAAAGGAATTTATATGGCAAGAACTGTCGTAGAGAACATTTTAATTTGATCTTGTGTTTACCACTCTAAAATCTGTATGTAGTTTCTAAGATGTTCACAGTTGTAAATTGGCTCCTTATTTGTGATTTCTTTCAAATGAAATACTGAATAGCCAGTTATTTCGACAAGTAAGAATTACAAAATTTTTCATAATTCAAGATAATTCAGTTTTAAGAAATTAAAATTTCATGATCTGAACATTATGTTGCTGCAATGTGAAGTTTCAGTGTTCGGATTGCTGATTTATCGATCAAACACCAGTTTGATTGATAGAGAATAGACGACAATTTATGCTTATAAAGCAAGTTTTTTAGTACATGGGGAGTGTCCAAATATCCTTTGAGAATCAGAGACAGCTGCACTTAAGTACTTAAGTAGCACTTTATCATACTGAAGAATTTTACAGGTTTTTTTCACAGATTAAAATTTTCGCAAGACATTGATTCCTCACAAAATAGCAAACATGTTTTCCCCACAAAAATAACTGGCAATACGGTAATGAAGACATTTTATTTTTAACCACTTGCAACTGAAAATTGTTGTTCTTAGTAAATTTTTTGTTTGTGAACCAGTACACTTGATAGGTCGAATCTTGATTCTAAAGATTTGACGTGTTATACGCAATATATGTTCTTGTTACCAGAAATGTGACGGCTTTTATACATATCAGGAAATGTTACTGAGAAAAGTGTCTAAAAGATGTCAGTCTTTTCCACTTGATTTATTCTGTTACAATGTTTTCTTATGTTGTGGACAAAGTATGTAGTCTTACTTTTTCTTTCTAATCATAAAGATTAAGATGTACAATGTAGTTAAAATTCATGTACATTATTGTATCCCATTTATCTGAATTAGGGGGATGGCATGAAGGTGAAAGACGTGATTTTACAACATTGTTGTCAAAATGGAGACATGCAACATGAAGACTTTAATGTCATGTTAGAGACGTAAGATATGATATGTCTAGATTTTAATATGAAGAGTTGGAGACGGTAGAAATATGTTTGTTGTAAATATTTCGCTGATATTTTGATACAGAAGATAATCAAATGCTTTACTATTTCATACCAAATTTATGAAATCTTGCCAAACTGTTCCAGCTATCTTGGGGGCGGGGGGAATGTGATTGATGCCATAGGAATAAAATGGTTTTTCCATGTGAAAAAAATATTAACTGTACATGTAAGTTGATGTGGTAATTTCACTAACATTGCTTTCACATAAGCAGTTGAAATGGCTGAACTTGCAGAAAAAATGCCATGCATGGGGCAGGACTGAGGGATATTCCGCACATGCAGTCTGAGGAGGCCAGCTATACCCGTCTAAAACTTAACTGCCAGAATTTTCATTATTTTTCAGTTTTTTGCCTAAAACAGGGTCAGTGCATGCTCATATTTCAGGGAATGTTATGATAGTCAGTATCAAATTCAATGGAACATATTTTACAATTTGTGTCAACGCTTCACAGAAAATTCAGAAACTGCATTTCGTTAGCTTTAACTATTTCAACATTTAGAACATCTTTCACAGAATCGTTCTATACCATCTGGACCCTTTCGCCCCGGGTTATGCAAAAAGAGCCATCGACGTAAGACAGATGTTTTGGTCATGATATCAGAGTTTGAGATTTCAGATGAGGAGGAATACACTGAAGTACAACCGATAATAAATTGTGTTTTATTATGAAATGAAATTAGTTCAGAATAGACACCTTGTCTCCACCAATTAAGCATTAAATTGATTTTTTTATGAATAAGACCCTTGAATACCTACTTTCTGTTTTAGATTTTATTTCTCTATAGTGTGTGTAAGTGTTAAACTTTTTATTAGGTAATTTATTTTACAAATAACTCTAACTATAAAAGCATAGTTAAGAGTATAGATTTGATACCTCAGACAAAATTACACTGTATAAAAACATATTGTTTTATTTCAGGTTTATTGTAACTACCATATTTATCTGCCAATAAGCCCATGTCTGGTGATAAGTCCTCTTAGATTTTTTTGACGTTCAATAGAATATCACAGAAAAACTAGTTCATTGTCCTGTATAAGCCCACCTGTTGATTTTGAGTCAGAATTTGTATATTCCCCTATATGGCTTACTCCAGGATACATACAGGAACTATTGCATTTTGTATTTGTTCGTGAAGTTACCCTGTACCCGATACAGCATCTAGTTACAGTGTAACTTTACCATCATTGATAAGGGAGGTTTGGTAGGAGAGGTTTATATTGGGTAGATATTTCATCATATATGTTACTAACACTGCCAAAGGGAAAAGAAATATTACTGTAAGTACAGTACTGACTTGTACATGTCTCTCCTCTAATTGTTCAACCTGTTTAAAAATCCAAGTCACAGACAAAACATTTATCAACATGTTGATTCTATTACCATTTTATCTTGATAGTAAGCCTATGTCTGGTTTTAATTCCATCCATATATAGATATTGCTGCTCTGTAAAAACAAAAAAAAACAAAAAAAACAAAAGTAATCCAATTTCATTTCCCTAGAGTCCACTCCTCAGACTTCGAGTTAGAAGGGCTTATTGGAGGATAAATATGGTAACTGAACACCGATAGCATTGTACATATCACAAGTAAATTAAACATACTGTGTAAATTCATCAATTTCATCAAACTGTGAAGTTTATATACAGGTAGTGGTGTTTTTGTCACGCAATATTCCAAACTTATTTTTCCAGTGGAAATAAAGACTTGGTTTCATCAGGATATTTAAGTATATAATGATGAAAATGTAAAATTCTGCCAGTGTCCTTTATACACTTCCTATATAATGCAATAAGTCTCCGATAGCATTTGTTCATTCTCACATTTATAATAAATATCAAATTTGTTTCAACAAAGTTTCTCATCAGATATTTCATTTTTTTCCAAAAAACTTCTCATTTTTGGGGTTAGGGGAGGGGTTGGAAGCAGAATGGAATGAAATTTATGGTTTGGTAAAAATCTTTCAAGATCTTGATGATTGTCTAGTGAATAGGTCCAATATTACGTCGCAGACACCATGCTTTATTTGACATCTTGGTTCAGTGCCAGATTGTTTTATAGATAAAATACTTTTTCATTTCATGTATGGGCCAGAGTGTAAAATTAAATGGATAAGATGAAATTTGTGTTCAGTTACAGTTGTTGATAATGAAACAAAAGTAAACAAAAAACGAATATTCTGATAAGGAAGATTCAGAAATATTTGTTCTCATTCTGATAGTTAATTTTGACTCTTGTTGCAGTTTGTGAAAGTGCTGAATGTGTTATATGACATATATGTATGTAAGATAAAATAAAAGAAATATTGTTCTCTTCAAATCATGTGTTTGTGTAATAGATCCAATTCCATGAAATGCTGTAAGCTTACAACGGTATGATGTAGCACCCTGTCCATCAGTAGTTTTGCTTTAAACAGCTTCTTCAAGAACAAGGACCGTGGCTCTCGACGGTCATCAGACCATAATCCCTACATATGATATAGAAGCAATTGTAGTTCTGTAGTAGGAACAGTTATTAAAACAGATTAGAAGATTTTAGTTTTTACATACTCCACCAAAAAGCTTGGATTTTTTCTCACCATTTTTATATTCTTTCCTCTTATATACTTCTGACGTTATGAAATTTGAGAATTCGTCTCAAGAGATAGCTAGAATAATCTTCAACTGTCAAGTAAAAGGTGGTCTCCTGTCAGTATTTTGTTTTTCTGGTCTGATTCCTACTTTTTCCAGAAACAGCAATTACAAGCTATCACTGTCAAAATCCAAGATTGGTGACCATGCTATTTTTGGATCAGTCTGAAAATGGTTCACTGCCAAACTAGGTATAGGGAACCTCAATATGAAATTTAGAGAAAGATTCATACAATACTCCCAAAGAAATATCCATAACAATATTTGTGAAAGGGCTGATGGACATACACAGACACAGGGTGATTGGAATATCCCATATTGTGATGATGATAAAAACTGGTGCTGTGATGACTTTTCTCATAAAAGCGACATTGACTGACTCATGAGGTCAAAGAGATCCAATTCCTGTAAAATTTTTAGAAAATTAAAAAAAAAACTTTAAGGTCTTCAACTGAAATACAGCATCTCAATCAGGAAAGCCAATGAAATGTTATGATCATTACATTGGATGGCAAGGTTTCCTCCTGTATTTTGAATCTTGGGGTAATAGTTTATCCAAAAACACTCCTTGTTTGGTTGATTCTGGAGATTTTGCATTTCCCTCCTTCTGCTGAGGTCATCTCGGGGTTGAAGGTAAAATTCATTGTTTAGGCAGTAATTTCAAATACTTTATATGTCTAATTTCAAAGAGCTAGTACTTCAGAGTTGTCTTAGTTTTGACTCATTCACAGGTATTCAATTTTGCATTGAATAGTTTATATATTGAGATGTATGTACAGATGGACTAGGATATATAACACATTTTCTGCAATTATGATCTACTCAAAAAATATTTGCTGAGAATTTTGTGCCATCTTTAATGAATGTAGATGTTGTAAAATTATATCCACTTTGAAAATTACCAACTTGGTATACATTCAAATGAAAGTAAACCAGTAAAATTTCATGGATGACCTGATAATGACATAACAACACTTTCATTTCAAGGTCATTGGGATTGGGATTAACTACAGCACTGATAATAGTACAACAATACCATTCTATGTAAGAAAAGCATATTTGTTATCAATCACTTGGAAAAATTAAAACCAGACCAGATGTATAAAACAGTATATTTTCAAATTTATTGCACAAAGCAAAGTGTTTGTTGACAAAACAAGATACAATTAAAACATAATTTTTGAGTTTTCTTTTAAAACAACCTTTCTTATGATCATTTGTTTACACTTTTTGGCACTTTGTGTAACCTTGGCGACAAGGTCCAAGTTGCACAGAATCACTCCATGATACATGAGACGACATGTGCTGGATATAGGGAATGTATCTTTACGTCAAATACAAACCATTTTCACCTGTACTAAATATTATATCACATCCTGAACTATTAGTGTACAAAGACTTGCTTCATTTCACCTAGAATTAGGAAACCATGTCATTGAGTTTAAGACAGGTCCCCAACACAAATCCATCAGAAAAAGAAAAACCATAGGCTGAATATGTCACTGAACCTGCGGTTATCTTATGTCAGGTTCTACTTTTTCAGGACTTGGATGAATGCAGTTCTTAACAACAACTCAAATCTTAGGTACTTGAATGAAGTAGAACCTTGAGAGTCAGACTTAAATTCACTTTGATCAGTCTGAAAAAGTCTGGCTGACATCTGGAAAATTCTAGGAAAATTCAAGCTCACACCTAGAAAATTCCATTTCATCATTAAAGTTTTATGATCAATGTCAGAAAAATTCTACAATCCATAGCAGAGCAGCCAAACTTTACACTCCCTATCACTTAAGGTCAATTACATTCTCCAGATACAAACACAAAAAAATTCTTTAACTATGTGGAAAAATTCCAATGTCCACATTCTCAACAAAAATTGGTGTTGAACATCCTTGGATCAACCATTTTCCATCATACAAACCAAGAGTCACATACAGTGTCACCTCCATATACTCCAAACATTCCATTCTCTATCATTGACACCGAGTCACATATAGTGTCACCTCCATATACTAACATTCTGTTCTGTATCATTTACACTGTATCACATGAAGTATAATCTCCACATACTGCCACATTCTACTCTCTATTATTGGCACTGAGAGTCACATACAGTATCACCTCCATATACTGCCAACATTCTATTCTCTATTATTCACACTGTGTGTCACATACATGTCACCTTCATATACTCCAAACATTCCATTCTCTATCATTGACACCGAGTCACATACAGTGTCACCTCCATATACTCCAAACATTCCATTCTCTATCATTCACATTGAGAGTCATACATGGAGTTGACCTTTTCCTGTTTGTAATATTCCACATGTAGAAACTTTTACTGTGTGAATGCCTATTGACAAACAATGAAATAAGACAACAATTAAGACTTCATAATAAAGTACAAAATAGTATACTTACTTGGTATCAACAAATTAACTTTTTAATCATTGGACTAATGTCTTTGAGTTAGGGTTGGTTGTTTTCGTATTTTCATTTGTTTCTTGGGTACTCAACATTCTCAAGTTACTAATCTGCTCTTCAGTAATATTTTCTATTCTCAAACCTTAATTAGTTTAAAACTTATCTAAGCTAGTCATAAGGACACTATAAACCTATGAAATTAAGAGTACTGATGCCCATGCAATTTTTTTCTCTGAAAAACATAAATTTTGAGAAGCACAAAATATCCTTTTTACCATAGAACAGTACTTTGTATTTTGCAAGTTTAGGGCATAATGATGGCTGTATTTAAGAGTGAAAAATCTATCTTGATAGAACCAAAGTGTTGTGCATATTAGGCAGTAAAGTAGGCAGCTACAAAGTAATTCATACTATCCCAGAATTCACAGGAATAACTCTCAAATCACATGTAAGTCATAACAAGAATCACAGATCACATAACAGTAAGATTCACATGAAGATCATGTGAATTCACACATATGTCCACAGCCAGCAGGGCAGAATTTTCGGGTGGAGAACCAGTCAGACATATGTTGTAGATGGCCACCATGAGAACACCCTTGGCACCACAGGAATTGACCTTTCACTGGGTGATGGCTGGAGTAAGGCAAAAACAATATTATTAGTGAATTTTCTTTTGAAATGTTCTGATGCATAGAACATGCCAATAAATCACCAACTGTACAGTTTGCCCTTTATTTTAATGTAAATAAGCTTCATTTTAATGTAAATGAGATTCATTTAACACAATTTTAATTGTTTTTTGGCTCTGTGATGCTTTTGATAAAATTCTATCAAAATTTTCTTCATCAACTTCCATTTTGTTATTGGGTCCAAACCTTGTAACAATGACCTACTTATTGCATGAATCAAATTGGATATTTTGTAGAAGACAATGTTTTATTTATTTGCTTTTTTTTCTCCTCAAAGTATGTTTCAAATGTATCCTATATTGCTTCGTTGTTTTCTTACCACAAGGCACAGGTGTTGACGATAATCTTGCATCGATCACAAAGCCAGCCGACACGTGACAGGACTTTATTACACATCGAGCAGTGTAAAGGGATGCGTGTCGACTGCTGGTTCATCATGGAGATTTGAGGGAGGTAACTCATCTTAATAATGTCATTGGATATCGTCCACAGTTTAAACCTGCCCAGCAAGTCTAAATTTGAATAAAAAAAGATTGACTGACATGTATATACAAATTGTGACAGTTCACTTAAAAAAAGTAGAGTTTAAAGAAAATTGAAATATACATCCAATTTAACAACAAAACACATTCTTAAATACCACAACAGGAAATACAAAAAATAGTTAAGTCCTCTGCATTTTTACAAGACTCTGGGATCAAACATGAATAAGGCACCACAGCTCTAGAATTACCACAGAAAAAACTTTTAACATAAGTGTGGAAACAATGCTCTGTCATCATAACTATATAATTAACAATAGCTAGAGTCAGTTTGTAACAATTTAAATTTTTTTCCAAAGTAGGTATATCTGACAGTATTTAACTATATATGACATGAACCAGTTTACCTGACTAACTATGTCTGATCAGTATTTACCTATATAGGACATGAACCAGTTTACCTGACTAACTATGTCTGACCAGTATTTACCTATATAGGACATGAACCAGTTAACCTGACTAACTATGTCTGACCAGTATTTACCTATATAGGACATGAACCAGTTAACCTGACTAATTATGTCTGACCAGTATTTACCTATATAGGACATGAACCAGTTTACCTGACTAGCTATGTCTGACCAGTATTTACCTATATATGACATTAACCAGTTTACCTGACTAGTTATGTCTGACCCGTATTTACCTATATATGACATGAATCAGTTTACCTGACTAACTATGTCTGACCAGTATTTATCTATTTACAGGACATGAACCAGTTAATTTGAGTAGTTATGTCTGATCAGTATTACCTATATAGGACATGAACCAGTTTACCTGACTAGCTATGTCTGACCGGTATTTACCTATATAGGACATGAACCAGTTAATTTGAGTAGTTATGTCTGATCAGTATTACCTATATAGGACATGAACCAGTTTACCTGACTAATTATGTCTGACCAGTATTTACCTATATAGGACATGAACCAGTTTTCCTGAGTAGCGATGTCAATTTCAGGGCGGTTTTTCTGTCCTAATACAAGCAGCATACACACTGGAGTCTGCACATCACCCTATTGAATTAAAAACAATATCCAGGTTAAACCGATTATTTGAAGCTTGTGAAATGGAGTTAAGTAGAACTTAACATAGTTGAAAACAATACATATATTACTGAAAGAGAAAGTAAATGAAAAGATTAAATTATGACATATATATACTATGTAAATCATCCTTTCTGTGATGTTGACTGTGATCAAGACATAATATACTCTAGTGTTCATTGTACAGGGTAAAATTTCAACAATTTTCTCCATGAAATAAAGTACTGGTTTGGAACAGGTATCTATTTTAATTGTAAATACCAATAGTTCTTACTTTAGTTTCAATCAAAGTACATAATTTATCTCTTAATATTTAACATAACAGTTGATGGTATATGAAACACACACAAAAAAATTAACTTTTATGGCTTTTAAGTATTACATTAAATACTATTTTTCATCATATTGTATGTTTGCCAATAAAAAACTTGCTTCTCATTAGTCCCTGATTTTGCAATAGAATGTTGAATTGAAGACTGAAGGTAATTTCATCCCAGTGATTTTATTTGCCTTGATATGCATTCAGAAAAAATGACTGTTTCTCATATAATTATTTTGTTATTTCCTCCCCCTTCCCCCTCAAAATAAATAGATAAAGAATATCTATGCAATCATAAAGGAAAGTTCACAGTTACATGTTGTTCCATTCACACAGGCACAGGCTGCCGTAATATAGTGGTAGAAAACCAGCATCCTTAACGCTGTTGGAGATTTTGTTGTGAAATTATCCTGTACATGGTACCCATTAAAAATATCATGTAAAAAATAATAAATGTTTAATAACAAATTTAATGGATTTTAATATAAAAAATAATAAATGTTAAATAATAAATTTGATGGATTTTTAATGCAATCTTTAAGCAGCAGTAGACTATGATATTATAAAAATCTTCTTATTCATACCTGTTCAGCATAAAAGTACAACATGTCCACCACATGATTAGAGAATCCTAGGTTTGGCACATTCATGTCATTTGAGAATGTTACCAGGACTTCTTCGTCGACATTTGACCTCGAGCTGTGTTGCAGGTTCTGCATATTACTCTCACTTTCATTGGCACTAGTGGGAGAATCATGGCCATTCGGCAAAGAGTTCAGAGGATTTGGATGTTCCTTTATCTCATGACGAGGTACGAAGGCTTCATTTGGTAGGATGAGCTCCTGGTCAAAATCCAAACATAAAATCAGTTTCCTTTATTTTAGAACAAAGCACAGAAGAACATGTACCTCATTTGGATTTTTAAACAATCACTGGAAATATTTTTTTTGCCGAAATCGAGTATATTTAATACTGTCTTCAGTAATAACAAATATATTTCACAGGTGTATACCAATATTCTAGTATCTTTTATGAATGCACAATACTACTCACTCATTTTAACTTTGCAGTACTTGACAAATTGTAGTTAGTTTTTAAAAGATGATTAAAAATATGTTAACACAAAACAAATTTCCATGTAAATTTATTTGTATATTCACATAGAAAATGTAACTTAATCATGTCACTAATAGACAAAATTGACTGTAAAATGTTCAGAGAGTTTAACACAAATCCTCTTGAATTCAAATGTCTAACATGTTCGCTGTACATTGAAAACATTTAGTTAGGGATTGGGTTCAACGTCTGATTACGTAATTTGTGTTACGTTGTTTGATGGCATTCTTGAAGATGAAAATTTGCCACGAAATTGAAACGTAGTGTTACTAGTAAAGAATGCTTTCATGTTTCTGGTTTTGTGAATTTTTGTACAGGGTTGTATGATTTTCAATTTTATAAGATGATCTAATTACCAATTTACTCATTTTTTTATTTGATGGGCTTTTTTTGAAGAGCCTTCATGTATCCTCTACATTTGTTTGTATATCAGATTCAGGTGATTTTCAGGGCTTAAAACAAACCCCCCCCCCCCCCCCACCACCACCACCACCTCTTCACTCCAAGATTCTTTGTGCTACTTTGTGGTACCACCCACTGAATTCAGTGTAAGTAATTTGCAGGAAACTAAACCTTTGATAGAAGTGAGTTACTTTAGAAAACTGTGGTCAAGTTGATGTTAACAGGAATACAATCCATATGTCAGGAAAAGATTACTTTTGATAAAATGACAAGCAGTTATTGAACTTTGTGGCATTTCCCATTAGCCAATATGAAAGCTAGGATCTGTTTGCCCCTGAAGAACCCAAAAACATGGCTGTGGTTACTGTAAAAATGTGTTTGATCGGAGAAGTTAACGTAGAAAATGGAAAGAAATTTTGTTACTATTGTAGTTTTCAGTCCATTTCTTTTCTCAAAATCAAAACAAGTTCAAAATTATGACAAATCATCATATTTGCTATTGTTGTTTCTGAACAATTTGGGGACATAAAGCCCATGAGTTGAAGAAAAGATTGAATATATTTGGAGATTTGGAGAGAAATTTGTTGAGAAATTTGGGGGAGAGTAAAGACAGATTTGGGGTGAAAGTTTTGGAGAAATTTAAGTATATGTATATTTGGACATCAGTCTGACACATCTAATAGATGAGAAAGGACTCATTGTATATCAAAAATGTAAAAAATGAAGGTTGTAAATTTTTCCTTTTGTTGCTATTCACTGTAACATGACATGACAATCATTCCCTGAAATACATCTTGTATTCATTTATTATTCAAAAGTGCAATTTTATTCAAATATTACGATTCATCAGAATTAATCGGATTGGAAATTGCTAAAAAAATTTTGAGCAATAATGAATTAATGAAATAAGATTAAAATTAGGAAGGAAACACCATTGGTTTACCTGTAATCCCTTGTCCAAATCTCCTAAGGAATCATATGTAAGTTGATCACCATCGAACAGAATATCCCATTCTGTAGAAGGTTGTCCTCGTGCAATACTAGATAGATTTTCTTTGATAATTTCTTTGTCAGAATCATCGTCACTTCCTCCTGATAACACAAACCACGTATCAAACAATTAATTATCCTCTTCATCCTTGCCATCCCCTCTCCCCCAACCTACCATCATACATTCAGAAAAATTTACCACAAACAAATAAAATTTCAACTTCATACAGTATCACCTAACATGGTAATATTTTTTTGATAAAAAATAAAAAAAAAAAATTCTATTACCTGGGGTATCATGTTTTCTGACAAATACTGTGAGATTCTACTTACTGAAGGGTATACTTACCAGAAGTGACATCATTATTGCCCGAATCTTGATGAACAGATTTTTGAGCATCTGTCTTGCCTGAAATTGTAAAAAAAAAGGGTTGTTTATTTTAAATTGCACTCAATCTACTGATGGTATATCTTTTTATCTATCAAAAAATACCTTTGATTTTTCAAGAACAACTACTGTATGATATTATCATATTTTATGGAATTTTGAAAAGTTTACTTAAAGCTTCTTATCAGGGTGTATGTTTCTGTGTTATTTTCATTTCCTTTTTATCTTTTTAGCTCTTTTTGCACATCCTGCTATATCTAATTTTGCTGGGGATTTTTTTTAAACCTTAAAAATGCGGTCTTTAATTTCAGTAAGAATATGATGCATATTCTATACAAGAATAGGTTTATTAGTAACTAAAAGGCGTTGTTTCATGTGTGGCTATCTCTGACCTCTCGCCTAATTTTATTAAGCATTGACCTTAACCTTAATTTCAAGAACTCCTTAAACCAATACAACATGTCTGTATGTAACAGTGTATCAATACATTTTAGGAAGTATAAACAGCGGCATTCCAAAATATTCCATGAAAACAAAAGTTTGGATTGATCGAAATGGACAGACACACATGATTACTACCTGATATAAGCTGAAATAAATTTTTATTTATCATTGTTTTAAGTCCTACTTGGCGGTGGAGCAAAACTGGAGTTTGTGGAGAAAAAACCAATGACCTGTAGCCAGTGCCTAGCAACTACCCAACATAGGTTTCTATTCCCCCAGCCAGAGCTTAGGGGCTAGTAATAAGATGGCCATACAGCCAAAATGAGAGATGACAAGAGTTTGATAAGTTAGAAACATAACACAAGAATTAACCCTAAATTCTATATGGTTAAATCAAGATGGCACACTGACCTTTATCTGTGTCAGGCTTATCACTGCCATTGGAAACCATGGAGAGTGTTCGGAACTGTGGATCGGTGTAAAGGCTTTGTGAATACATCACCATCAGCATTCTCCAACTCTGGGCCACCTATATAGAAATACAGCACTTTAGAATCAATATTTCTGAACTTGGTTGGTTGGAGGCAGGGGGTTGGGTGGGCCTCTGCTTTTCATGATTTTATAGGTATACTCCTGTGTTATGGATTTTATACTGATATGATTTTTTCAGTAGATTTCTTTATCATAATAATTATGAATAATTCACAAAACGTATGCCAGTGGAAAACTGATTTCAACTGAATTTTTAAAAAAATGAAAAACAAATTAAAGAAATATGTGAATAAAAAATTAAAAACACAAAAAAACAAAAAAGGGAAACTTTCATCCTCCCAAAAATAACTGATTTCACAGAAAATAGGCAATCTCATACATGAGATAAAGCAGTGACATAAAGTGTGTCAGAGTCATTGAGGTCAAGGTAATCATTTAAGATAATTAAATAATTATGTTACTAATTCATAATAACCTTAAACTGATGCCAAGATTGCCAACTGATATGCCCTGCTCACAATGAACAATAATTTTAAAGGGGTTGTCACAACAAGATGCCTCCAAGAGGTCTTCACTTGGTCACCATGGCAACTAAATGCAAACATTTTTTTCGAAAATGGTATCATTGTATTTGTCATCGCCCTAAATCCTTAACAAATCAGAAGCCTCCAAAGGGTTTCCATGGTAACCGTTATGGAACACCTGATATATCAAATTATAAGCTATAATTACCTGAAGTGTTTGATCAAGTTTAAATAAAAAGTGAAAGAACACATTTATATATCATATAGATATAGCAGTAAGTTATAAAGAGGAACAAAATGAGAGACACTTGACACAATATAATATAATCCAGACATACGGGTGGTCGAACAGTCAAACGGTCAGTGAAGGTGATTCCAATATACCCCAACAGGCTTCATTGTAGGGGTATAATAAATAAATAAAAAATATACTAAAACAAGTAAAGATTATTTGTTTTACTGACTTGCTTGTTAAAAAAAACCCAACAAAAACAGAATCAATCATTCTCATTTTGTCAAAATTTCTAATCAAAAGTTGATAATCGAAGTAAAATTGAGAGTGTAACATGAAATATTTTTAATAAGTCATCCCTTGACCAATGACCTTAGATAAATGTAAGAAAATCTGACCTGGCAATATCTGAGAGATGATTTTGAGAGAAAATGAAGACTATTTAAGAGCATTTTAAAATCAGAGTTAAACTAGAATCTGAAATAATTTGACTTGTAAAAAGAAATTCTGATAACTTTAACTCCCGGTCCAGGAAATCAACCAGAATTTTGATGAGAAAATGTTTAGAAATCCAACTGGAACTAACTAGATTTACTGATCAGAGCATGTGGTCATCGAGATTAAAAAACCTCACCTGGTAGCGACCTTGACTTTCAGCCACTTGAGCATTGTGTTCACAAAGTTTGTCCAATGAAAATCCCTTCAGGAGGTAACGCCGTGCAGAGTCCCGAAACCAGTCCATCGACAAAGAGGTCTACAAATCCATAATTATCTTTAGAATCTCTTTACATGACTTTTAATCAACATGGTGATTGGAAGAATGAAAAATTCTTTATTGAGTACTACACAGTATAAAATCAAGACTGTTTTTCAAATGTCTCGTACCATGATCTATTGCTTATCATCACAACAAATACACCAGAGATTGTCCATTAAGGATGAGGACATAGATTGGGAAGAAAATGAGTCAATTTTTAAGTAAATTTTACGAAGTAGAATATAAATTTCAGAAATAATGCATATATGAGAGTACCAATCGTAGTCCGAATAAGTTTAAAGAAAAGCCCTGAGTACAACAGATACTGGTAATGATGTATCACATGATCTATAATCAAGACATCTGATTGTGTGTTTACCTTATGTTTATCACAGCTGTGAACGTGCAAAGTACTGAATGCCTGTGTGAAATGATCACTACGGGATGGCTTCTTCTGAAATATCGACAGCCTCCCAGAACTGTGTTTGTCTGAATAAACAAAAAAATTGAAAATTCTGATAAATGATATACCATAGCAATAAACAGTTTTTCTAGTAAATTATTCTAGCAAGGGTTAATATAAGAAAAGGGAATGTTTGTTTGACAAGACCAAAACCAAGTATATACCCGGTATATTCTTTCAGAAAGGACAATTAATTAATTTGCTGTTGTGGGATAATAGATAACAATAGCATGTTCAATATCACATCTACCAGTTTAAAGTTACACATACTTTGACAATCATTTTTGTATCACAAAGGGAAGGAGGGATTTCATCCTCAGCACTAGTTTCATTTAATTAAAGTTAATTTAACAAGTATAATGTCCACTATTATGACCTTTCATTATTTCGACCTTTCAGTGGACAGGATTCTTAACACAATAAATGATGTTCAAAGTGGTGTCTAGCTAAAACAAAGTATCTGCAGAAAAATCAACAAAGCGATCTAATATGGCTAAGAATATTGACTGTACAAAGAATATTCTGACAACCAATCTTTAATTTAGCATGGCCAAGAATATCAACTTTTGGAGAGAATGTTTCTAGAGAACAAAAAATTAATTTAACATATCCAGGAATATCAACATAGAGGGAATATTCAAGAGAACAAAGAATTTATTTCCTACAGTACAGAAAATTTCTGAGGTTATTTCAAGAGAACATAATGACCAGGAATATATCAACTTTTAGAAAAAAAAATTTATGGTTGACAAAAAATCAGTTAAGCATAACCAGGAAGGAAAATTCATGAACTATAAACTATTTTCATTTCAAAACAATTTCATGACAGCGAGTGTAATAACACCACAACAAATACCAATTTCAAAGAGGAGGTTAGAAGAATTTCCTGCGATATGCAATACCTGTAGAAAGTGTACGTTCCCCGTGGGCATGGGATACTGTGTAATCAAGGTTCATGTCGATTCCAGATGGTGTGACATGGTCAGCTGGACGTTTGGCATCTTTGAACACATGTTGGTACAATGTACTGTCCTTACTACAGCTGTAAAACATGTGGGGATCTTCCTTCTTCCAGACAATGTCTACACAAACAACAAACCCATAAACAATTTAGTAAACAGGCAGAGAATAAAAAGCATTCTGTCATCATTAAATATATAATGGAGTGTCAAAATTCTATAAAGGTTGACTTCATCAATGGATTAAAATTTCAGCTTTCTCAAACTTTTTAAGAAAAAATGCTTGACCAAAACAAAATCAGAAGACATACATACAACTTCATATCAAATAACAGTTCTTCTTCTGTATATGTTGACAAACAAATGTTTACAAACAAAATTATAATGGAATGATGGTCATGAGTAACAATTTGGCTAGGGACAGATATATATATATATATATACATATATATTATATAAAGTATATATAGTATATAAAGTATATATATATATACTTTTAAATATGTTCTATTGACATCAAGTTCAAGATGTCTTATTTTCACAATTTCATTCAATTATAAAAACACATCCTCAATACTCCAGAGACTAAGATCAATTGTGCTCTCTGCACCCCTGGACCATGTCATGGTGAAATTGAAGGCATAAGTGAAATTTGATTGGTTCCAGGAGGAAAAAAAAAGACCAATCACAGGCTGATACCCTCTTTTGAAGATTACAAAGGAGTAACACCCAACATCAAATCATTTATGATATACATCAAACGGTCAAACTAGTCTTTTCGTCCTGTCCACAAGGCGTCGTACATGGAACCTTCAATTTTGCAATAAAATGTTCCAGGGGTGCAGAGAGCAATAGTGAGCATGACTTCTGAAGTATCGAGGATGCTAATATCTCAAAAATAGCAAAGACAAGAAGCCATTTGAAAATAACAAAACATATGTACAATATCTGTACATTTTATTTGCTATTCGTGATGATTATGAAAAACTCTTTAATTATTCTGAAAAATAAATTGTCTTGCAAGTAGTAGTATATTTTATAGTGCACTGAGCTTTTCTGAAAATTATTTCTTATGATATTTCTGTGTATAAATGTACCTGTAGTGACGTCTTTATGTTCCTCAAAGGCTGCGAAGGGTATGTAAGGTCGCTGAATGTTCCAGATGTTGATGCTGAAGTCAACGAGAAGGGAGGAGCTAGCAATATGATAACGCCTCTGGGGACGCCAACGAATTCTCATCACGGAGGCGACTGTGTGAATTGTATACATAAGCTTGCTTCTTTGTAAGTCCCACACCTGTCCAAACAGCAACGGTCAAATATACTTAAAATCTTTGTCAAAGTTTAATGGTACAGGTTTAGGCTTGTAAAGGACCTTAGTTTTAAATATGGCATTTTTGTTTATCTGTTTGAAATAGTGCCATTAATTAATATGGTATCAATAATTTGTTTGTTGCTAGTTTTATCAAACCCTGAAGAGTCACAATCATTTTGAAGCCTGGGTCTCCTAGTAGTAGTTGGTGACTACTTAACAGCATACCTTCTAAACCAATTACGGTAAAGTGTCTTGCTCAAGGCCACAACCAGACACAACCACATCAGCAAACTTAGGTCAGTTTCTTGGCTTCCAGTGAAACATGAACAACCAAGGTTAAGAAGTGTCAAAACACACACCTCAGACTTTCATGTGAGATTATTTAGGCCAATATTCTAACAGATCCAGTTATTGCGACCCCAAATGAAATAATCATAGAATCTTTCAGCAGCAACTAAAGGATCTTGGGAAACCAATGGATAAATCTATAAGAACTGCTAATATTACCTACTTATCTCTATCTTATCAATTAGAAGTGATTTAAATATGATGAATATAGATACTTAGAGAATTTTTGTTTTTCCTTTTCTGTTTTTTAAACTTGAAGAAATTCAGTATTTCATCTTTTTCTGTAACCATAACAAAAAGAAAAAAGCAGTAATAATGCAGAAAATCAATAGAGTTTACTTTAAGGCAATCTTAAGGTACAAACTCAAATATGATCAAAATCAAATTCTAAACTACTACAGACCTTGATGGATTTGTCACGGCCTGCAGTGGCAATCCAGTTCCTATCATCTGGGTGCCAGTCTATGCTAAAAACTGGGCCACTATGCGCTGTCATCTGTTTCTGGACACGGTCTGGTTGCCTCATGTCCCAGATCTGCAAAATGGAATATAAACCATATTGTAATTACGACATCTTGGCTCCAAAGTTTAAATTTCCATGTAGACATTAAAACTCATTTCCATGAATCTATAGACATAAGTAAAACAAATATTTTATCTTTTCAAATTGTATTTTTTAACCCTAGTGAGTGAATCTATGCCAAAATGTATGGGTATATAGGAAAAAAATATCATTCTAAATTCAGACTTGGCACTTTTGAAACACATTATCATGAAGAACTTATCTTCATATTTGAGTGTGTTCAATATATCATGGTGGTATGGAAAATTCTATTTCTTCACCTGAATGTTACCACTTTCATCAGCAGCAGCAAAATGAAAGTAACTAAATGCACTGGGACAAAACTGGACATCGCGGACACTGCTTCCTGACACAAATGTGGTGGTGACTGTCTTCTTCCTCACATCCTGTGACACAATAAAAGTTATTATACTGTACAATAATATATATTATAGTTTATAAGGTATACAAAAAAATAAATTCACCTTTGTGTGCGGTTTGCTCCCACATAAATTAACATCTTTCACTAATAACTAATAAGTGAAAAGAATCTCTGAAGAGGTGAAAGTCCTCAGGAAACAAACTGAAGCAAATTATACACATATTGCATGTATTTTGTATCATCTAATTCCACAAACACAAATATAACATGACTAGTCTACAACACCAACACTTACAAACAATTTCATTGATCCATCCTGTGAACCACTTAACAGCAGATTCACTTCGTTTTCATGGAAACGAACCCGATTCACTGTTCGATTATGGTCCGTAAACACATAATCTGGAAATAGAGAAATTGCATTAAATTCCCTCTCATAAGTGGGAAGATTTTTTTATAAGAAAATTGTTTATTATTGTCACCATTTCATTAAGTTTAGGTTATTCTGATATTCTTTTGTTTTCATGTAATTGAAAACAAGAATTTAACAGAAAACACTTTATCTATCTTACAAATTAGCAGTGAGACAATTCAATTATGCCAAATTCTCGTGCAAATTAGTCTCATTGTTTGACAAATTTCTATATATTCAAATAAAAACCTTGGTCTTTGGAATTTTAAAAAATACTCTTACAAGGTACATTATGAATTTTCACAAATATAATCTATGACTTTTAGTCAACCCTCTCATATGGAGTTGAACTGGATGGTTGGGGCATCAAAGAAAAGAAAGGAGAAAAAGAAAGCAATATTTTGTGAATGTTTTGTCAGGAAAAAATCAAGCAAATTGTGCCATAAGATATGTATCTATACATTCTGAATCCATGGTAATAAATAAATATATCTAAACAAGAACAATGAATAAATCTTAAAGCATCGTTAAACAACAGACTGGTATTGTCTGATAATAACAGACTTCTTCCTGAAGAGTATTCTAGACAAAATCCTCAGAATTAAAGCCTACCCTGTTTGGATTTACTTGTCCTGTTAATGTCCCATACAACCACAGACCCATTAGTGGCGGCTGATGCTAATATGTTATCTGAAATATATACAACATGGTATTAACATTGATTAACATTCATTTAAAAAAAAAATATTTTCAGCTTTAGAAGAATATTTCATGCACTTATTTGATTAAATCCAAGCAGTTCTTGACGTCCAGATGGGGAGTACTATACTTCTGTTTCTCATGTTACATTTATCTGAACTTCAGCCAGCTGAAACACTAAAATCTTTCTTTATAAAACCCATTAAATTTCAGTTAAGGTCATGTAGATACTTCATAGCAAACTTGATTGCTAACCTATGTCTAAACCTTGTTAGGATGAAGTCACTAGCTTTGAAATACTGACAACAAACTAATCTTCTCATTACAGCTAAGTAGAACACAGCTTGGTACCACACACCAAAACACTGCTTGGTGCCACACACCAATAGGAACAGTATATATAGATATGAAAACTAATTTTGAATTTCCAAACTGGACAGTGAATTCAATGTGTATTTATACTGAAAAAAAATCTACCAACACAAGAAAGGAATTTGCAAATAAGACATATAATTTAGAAACTTAAACTTGTATTTCAGAAAGTTTCTTCTAATTCTCCAAATATTCTGATAACTTTGTAAACTAATTTATTCATTGATGTGATCTAGATATTTTTCTTTACTTTTCTTCCTAAAACATTGTTTGATGAAAAGATCATGTCAGAATCATCAATATGGAGTACAGCAGTATCTATCTAGTAGTATCATCTAAAGAACAGAATATTTACCTTCGTTTTGGTTCCAGGTCACATCTGATGCACTGAAGTTGAGGTTGACATTTCGCCCAACACGAAGATTCATTTTCTCCTCAAACTTTTCATCTTCTATGCCAAATATTTTAAATACTTGAAAAATAAACAGGAGGAAAAAGAATGATTAATCAATAAGAAAATTAACTTTGCATGTAACTTAAATTTGGTTCTTACATACACAACAAGATGAAGCATTTTGTTCTCATTTAAATCTAATGGACTTGACGATAAAAATAATAAGACTTGGTGTATTTATCAAGCAATAAGCCTAATAAATAGTAATAAACCCATCCATCAATATTGCTGTTCAGTAGAATATTATACCTATGTATGTGCTATGTATTTGTCTTGTAATAAGCCTACCCCCTGACACTGCATAAGAAGCAACAAACTGGCACTACTGGCTTCAAGCAAAATAAAAAAGGTGTTCATTTTAGATGAATTTTTACTTCAAACAGGAACAACATCTCAAAACTGACAGTTTGACAGAAACTTACCAGTGCGACCTGCAACCACAGCAAGAGATGTGTCTCTGTTGATGGCCAGGGCATTCAGCGCTCCCTCACAACTACAGTGCATAGTCTTGAGTACCACTGGATTGACTAGATAAATGTATATTGGAACAAAAGATGAACTTCAAGATCAAAAAATAAAGAATTAAGAAAATACATATTCTCTACAAAGACGTTCAGTGACTGAGAGGAATAATAATATATACACCATGTAATAGTACTGAATACACATGCAGGTACAAATGAATATTTACTTTGTTAATGTTGTAGAATATATTCAAATGAAAATATTGTTATAATGGCATTTCAACAGGACTTACATTTCAAACAATTCAATTCTCTTAATCAGGTGAGTGAAAAACCACTTATTTCATAGATGTTTCAAAAATACATTTAATTTTGAACTTTCTTATTATAATGTATATATGTATGCAACATTGATGAGAGAAATGAATTTGGGGAAGACAATTTTTTCATATTCATCATCAACTATTCTGTTAAGCTATTAATGATCCATATTAGATATAAATACACATGGAGATGTATAGAACCTATTGAGCATCCAATTCATACAAAACTTGAATCTGAACAATTTATAAAACTACCATCAGTATATCATTATATTTACTGTCCTATCAGTTACCATTACTAAGCAAATATTTAACATTTCATTTTATGCTTTAATTTGTTCATTTAAAAAGAAAGAACACTTCCATGTAGCGGATAGAAAAATCCATTCTGAAGTTATTAAGAGAACTAAGATGAAAAACTTGAAGTGATTATATATACCTCGATCATGGACAGCACGGGACACATTGTGCATCATACTGACGGCTGGTTTTTTCCAAAACTATTTTACTACTGAAAGACAGTGACCCTTCCAAAATCCATGCCACCCATTTATCAAACTCCACTTCATATCATTTCGTCAACTAGGATATAGAAATGAATACTGAAATGCAACTGTTTTCACAAAATGTATTTATAATTAATAAAGAGAAGGAAGATCTGACACTCCTCAAGTCAGGAGGATTCACCAGAGCTCCTGACAGAAGAAAAAACAAAAGAAAGTAAAAATATATATTCAACATTTCTGGATGAACATTGTATTTACTAAATATATTAATATTTTGACTGCTATGAGAGCTGCGAACAGATGATACATGTAGACATCTTATAAATACAAAGCTGTTCATTTGCTTAAAACTATATAATTGTATCTGTATGAATACATACAATCTATAGACAAATGGATATGTGATGACTGCATCCAAATGTAGATTAAATATCAAACAAGAAAAGGCACTTTTTGATGATTTTTTTTAACATAAATAAGACAAAGGAATTGTATGTCAGTGTCAATTATTACTTTTGTCACAAATTTTTTAATAGTTCTTGGAAAATACAAATTAAACTTGTTACATATCTATACACGTTTATTTTATAAATAATTGTAAAAAACCCAAGCTCAATTTCACTACAATTAGAGGTTTCATAGCGATGTATCCTAATTATTTGTCACTTTCCAAAGTACAAGAACTGAAGATAGTCATTGACAGTTAAAACTGAATTTCAGATATAGTTCAATATTTTACATACCTGTATATATGACCTCTACACTAAATTGTGTTCTATAAACCCAATAAATCACCAAGTTCTAGAAGACACTTTGATGATGATGTATTTTGTATGTGAATTTCATTAATAATGCATGACAAAGTGATCTCTACATGCATTTTATCTTTTAGGCCGAAGAAAAAAAGTAAAACACATAATCTTTTGGAGCTCTTATTTCAAATAAAGATAATGTGTTATCAATGATGCTTTCTGCCTTCAATACATGTAGTATGATCTGTTCTTTTTTCAATGTTTTCCCCTTTTATTTTCAATTTTCATCTTAATAAAAAAACAGAACTGAAGTTTTATTTCTGTACACTAACATCTGTTTTTAATGGTGTTATATAAGCATCTCATTTAGTGACATCAAACATCATAAGATCTTAATGAAAATATCTTGAACTAATGGAAAACAACTGATATAAATACAGGTATGAGCACCTTTACTTGTTGTCAACAAGCAGTTAACCATGTATACACACATAAGAGGTGTCAATCACCGGGACCTTTTGAAAAGTAGTATATCAGTACTCACTTCTTACTATGACGAGGCCAGAATAAAAATGTTTTCATAAAAACACGTATACATGACAAAATAAACATATATTTAAAAATTCATTTTGAAAGCAGATCACGTGATCATCAGTTTCACATGTCAAGACAAACTCTAACCATGTTACCTGTGAAAAGGCAGGTGTCAATTATCTTATTACGAAGCCTATCGACTGTTATTCACCTCATGCATTACTCACATAGGGTAGGACCTACGCCGGTGTTTTGATAAGGCGTGTTTTTTGTTTTCTTTACATGAATGCAACTTGTTTAGTTTATCGTCGGTTGTTGACATAAAATGACACAGATGAGATTGAATAATTGTCACCGATAACATTACTAAAAGGGTAAGTCCCGCATTCTTACCAGTAGGTTATTCACATACTGTGTAAGGTATAGCAGTTATCGGATATCTATGAGGGTACGTCAACAACATGGAACAATTCAGAACTGCATCTTAAGCTTATTTACAGGATGAAGAAGTACTCATTCTCAGCCATTGCTTGTGGACTACGTCATCAAAACCGCGTAAAAGATTGTTTCCGTTTCCGCTTCTGAATCATCAAAATGTTTTGTATAGCCGTGTCATTTATTTGTCAATACCAAGCATCTTTATAACTCAGAATACAAATTGAAGTGATAATCGCGTTGCAGGTAGAAAGTTGTGTTTTGAAAATGAGTTTCCAGCCAAGATCTCCGTACCCACAGCAATCCGGATATGGACAGAATAGTAACAGTTCAAGACAGGCTAGTCCACAACAAACAATTTTACAGGGGTGGGGTGCGCCTGCAAGGGGTTATTCTCCAAACCCCAGCCCTCGGGCAGACAGACAGTTTCAATCGCCTGGTTCTGCGAAACATCAGAGTCCTAGGCATTTGAATTTCAGTTCTTCAAGTTATAGTTCTCCTTCACTTATGAACTCATCAGGGTTTAGTCACCCGTACGATAGATACACATCCCCCAGTGATTCGAAGTTCAAAACTCCCCATTCTCCAAATCTCTTCTCTCCCCCGGGTTCAAGAGGTCGTGGCGGTTACAGTGGCAGAAAACATAATCAGAATTACCACAGAAACTTTAATCAGGTACATAAGAGCTTAATCTTTTTTATTCACATTTCTGATGCTGTCTTTGCAAAAGGTATTTATATGCAATGACCTTGCATGTATGACGCATTTTAACTGTCTAATTTCGTCACCTTTGTGTTAATATTTGATCACTTCAAAAGATAAACTAATTTTTGATAGTGTTATGTTTTGAGAAACTGTGTCATACAATGCTGTATATTGGCTTTAGCTTTAAGTAAAAATTGTTCTGAGTTCAACACAAAAGTCGAATAGGCATTTTTGTTTCTAATAATATTTATAGAGTATAATTTATTCATAGAATATTATTTGGATGATATAGATGATAATCACATCTGGTTTAGACAAATGTATTTAAATTTTGTGACGATGAAATTGGGAACGACTTATAAAGCTAGTTATCTTTATTTGTACCTTGTCACATCGTCTGTTAACACATAAATTCAGTTTTACTTCCACTTCAATATTTTTACATTCAGTATAGAAGTTTGTAAGGAATACCAATGTACTTATCTATGTTTCAAAATTCTAAAAAGAAAATTGCAAAGTAAATTAACTTGCTTTCCAGACACCGAGACAAGACCGTAATTGTAATCCGGGAGGCAGTGGCAATATTGAAGATTACTTCCATCCGAGTATGTTACATGATCCGTGGAAATTTTGTAGTTCTGTTCCGGTCACTCGTGAACCATCGCTGACAACGTGACGAAAAAACACCCTAAACCAGTTCTGTTCAGGAAAACTTATGGGAGAGTATCTGGTTATTTAAAACACCCAATACTTTACCCCTAAAACTTCTGTCCACTTAAGGTAGAAACTGTGATAGCTCAAATCCTGTAAAGTACAAAACTAATGTATATAACTCAAGGCAGCAATGTCCAGTCCATACCATATGAGTGTAACCATCATATGCAAACATGGTCAAATGATATTCAAAGTGGCAGGGGTACCTTAAACTAACAGTGGTATGTTGTTAAAGGAGCCAAGTGGTCATACATGGCTAGAACTATCAATGCATATGGTATTGTAAAAGAAAACAAAAAACATATTTATTATCTAAATTGACACACAGTGCTTCAGTAAGACTGTACATATATGTGTATTATATACAGACGTGCAATTTGTATATACACAGTTTTGTATTTGTGCATCAAATACAAGAAATATTTTGAACAGTAAGACATTGTGATAGTCAGAATGATAGCAGTTGGATATATTTAAGACTTCTTTGTATAATGGACTAAAAGACTTGTGAGTAACTAGGAAAAACAAATTCTTCAAAAATTTGAAATTTCTCAAGGGATATATTGGCAGCTTTGCAAAGTGGACTCAAATTGACAATTGAAAAATGATGTGAAATAGTGTTTTATAACATTTGTACCGAAAGACTTTTTGTCTATTTGTCACTGAGACAGGCAGCGTTTTAATGAAGAATGTTTTTTTAGCATCATGGAGATTTTTATTTCTGATAAAATATTTTTTTTCATTGAACTGAATTGATATAATTATATGTGTGTTGTTAATATTAATGTAAAAACCATTTTATTGTGATTTGATTGAATATTTGAATGGATAAGTAATTCTGACTTTATTTCACATACTTTTCAGGTAAACAAAAATGTCTATTTTTTTTCTTCACATTTGATATTGGAATGTTAAAATCAATGTTTGTAATTATCCATAAACAATTTCAACTTTTATTTAACATATTTTTTTTATTTTGATGTCACATTTGTAAAATCAATGTAATTTCAAAGGTCTGTCATGTAGATTTGAAAAAAGAAAATATCAAATTATATATGAAATAAACTTTTAAAATGTTTGATATATTCAAGTGTATGTTATATATGATGCTTTTTTTCTCATTTGATTCTGTATCTGCTTTAAATTTTTAATTAGGAATAATTTTAATTACAGTTTCAAAATTTTATTAGCTCATTCTGAAATAATGAATATATTATATACATGTTTCTATCATTATTATGACAATGGGTTTTGATAAAGGATTTTATGTAGTAGTACGTAAGGACACAAAGTTTAGCTGTAAGCGTTGAATATAGACTGCAGTGCCATACAACTACCTGATTGGATGATGCAATATACTGTACTATTGACAATATTTTACTTTGTTTTAAAAGATGTCAGATTTATAGAAATTAGTATTCAAGGTTATCTTGAAAATAATTTCAATTTCCTTTTTAACAATATTGTTTCTTTGGCATCTAACAGTATCAACATCTTGTATATATAGCAGGTCATTTGCACATAACAGCGAATAGAGCCAACAGCGGGTTGTTGTCTGTGGGGTGGATTCTTTGTTTCGAGGCCCCTCTGCCGGTTTTACTCTACGTCAGGCTTCTTCAGGATATATATATCAATTACAATTTTACCCCTAAGGGATTAAAAATGAGGGTACCTAATTCACTGTTATTCTATGACGTAACAACTATATTGTTGTTCTATGATGTCACAACAACTGGCATCTATTAGAGAAAGATTATTCCAGTATTATCCCAGTAACTTCATAGTAAATATGTATTAAGTTGAGATGTCATAAATAAATTGATGAACCCAACCCATTCATCTGTTGTGGTTGACTTCTACTTACCTAACTTTATAAAAAGTAATATTTTGATGTAAATGCTTAGTTTCCAAGGTAACGGGAAATAACAAAAATGAAACCTATAGCTAGCTTAAAGCAAAATACATGACTAGCCCAATATGAATACAAAGTTTTTGTAGTGATGAGCTGAACAGTTTTCAAGATGCAACATAGAAAAGTCCCTCTGGCTGGGAAACAGACATAGCCCAGTTTAATATCTCAATCATACATGTTTGGCAGTACATGCCCACTGTAAGAGAACATTCGGCTGAAATTAATGACAATTTAATTTAGTTATATCTTTGAAACTTACAACACAAACCTAAGTTGATGTTTATGGAAGATAATCCATGGAAGTCACTCTCGAATGTCCTAGGGATTAACACAACCCTTGAATCATGAAAATGAGACAACAGGCTGCAAGTGTTCAGATATATGTTGTCAATTTATGTACACAATATCTTGGAAAAAAGATGACAAAACATACAGACCCCTTCATCACTCAGGAAAGCATACAGGCCACTTTATTGCTCAAGAAAAGCCAATATATCAATACATCATGTTTTATTTCACCCAAAACAAATATACTATCAAGAAGAATGAAATCATTCATAATTGATCAGCATAATTTTGTAATGTTTTTGACATTGACTGTTGAATTTAACAGAATTTGTTTTGCCAGAAATTAAGTCAACTTTGGAAAAAAAACGGATATAGGTGCTCTTTATCTTTGAAACACACCAAATGCAAGCATGGGGAACAATTACAGGTCTCAAGGTAGTGGTGTCTGATATATGAAATTTACAAAATGTACTGAATTATGAAGCTAGTGTACCTCTCAATCAAGATTTTTGACATTTTTTCAATCATTTTGGATTTTCATCTCCAAGATATCACCGACAAGTTCTAGGACGAAACAGCTGTGTGATTGTGTTTAATGTATTGTTTGGTTCCACTGTGTCTTGGCTAAATTTGTATCAAAATGTTTTATTCACTTGTATGTCTTTTGTACAATCCACTGATAGAGAAATGTAGTTCCCCATACTATCTAGAAAACCATAGTTTGAATATAAATTTGTAATGAAAACGTAGTAATGTGATGAAGTTTCAAACAATTTTGATAAAGGATTTTGTGACATAATGGTAAAAAAAAAGTAGAACTGAGATATGAATTGATGATCAACTGATGCTGGCTTTAGTTTTATAAATAAACCTCATACTCCAACATTTGTAGTCAATTTGGTTTGATGACATGTAGTGACCACAGGAACCACTAAGGGTTTTGGCTTTTGATGGGAATATCTAATTTTTTTAATTTCTATTGTATAACTTATAACTAGTTAAAATTATACCATAAGCATTCTACAGTATATAAATAAGATAAACAAAGGAGGGTGACTGTGCATTGCATTTAGTGGAATTGAACCACCACTGAATCCGGAGATTTAGTTTACCAATAATGCTTTGTTTAAATCAACCCTCTTTAAAACCCTTTATCTACTGAAGAGAATGTAACTACCCACTCCTTTCCCATTTACCCCCTGATTTTAATTATAATAGTCAATTTATTTGTATTCTTTATTTGACAAAACACATGTTTGCTTTATAATCACATTTACTGGAGTGATTTTCAAAAGGAAAAATATAAATGAAAAAAATCATTTTGGAAAAAGTATTGCAAAAAAATACATAATGGCTCAGATACATGGTAGTGAATTTTAAACTGAATCTACATGTTTCCTACTATATTCTATCAAGAGATAACAATATTGAAGAACCAACACACTATATGTCTAAGATTGCAGCTAGGTTCCTGAATGGATACCAGAGGTATTCTGTAGTTCCTTACAATGTGGTCAACATAAGGAAAAAATAAAGGATTTTCAACACCCAGGAACATATGTTGTAGTTTTATTTATGGACATATTCGTCGATATGTTTTGACCGCTATGCTAGGTCCTGATGACGGTCGCTTAGCCGTCGAAACATGTCGATGAATTAGTCCATAAATAAAACTACAACAAGTGTTCCAGGATGTTGAGAATCCTTTATTTTCGCCTTATGTTGACTACTATAATCTATGAAATATGTACATTTTATTTCATTCAAGGTATGTCGTAACTCTTTAAAATTTTCTATTACAATCTGAAGCTACATAAAATATGTGCAATGGGAGGTAATTATATCAATGTGTTTCAGGATAGAATTGTAAGTAGTAAATGTCTGAAAAAGTGGATAATAGATAAATCAATTGTAAAATGTTTTATGTAGGGGAATGAACCATCCAACTTGATTGTTCCAAGGATGAATTGGCATTCAGTTATCATACTGTAAATGAAATTATGTCAATAAGATGAAAATATATCAATACTCAATTTTGATTACCAAAGTTTAACCTTAACCAAAACTACAATTTATTTGCATGGTATCAAAATATTTTAAAAAAATACTTTATAGTGAGAAGTTACAGTATCAAGAAATTTGATTGAACAACTTGAGATCAAGACTTGTGTATTACTAAAGATGACCTTGTATGTATAGCATGGACTGCTAAAGATAACTTGTATGTATAGCATGGACTGCTAAAGATGACCTTTTATGTGTATCATGGACTGCTTAAGATGGCTTTGTATGTATAGCATGGAGTGCTGACATGATCTTGTATGTATAGCATAGACTATTTAATATGACCTTGTAAGTGTAACATGGACTGCTAAAGATGACCTTGTATATACAGCATGGGGTGCTAAAGATGACCTTGTATGTATAGCATGGACTACTTAAGATGGCCTTGTATGTATAGCATGGAGTGCTAAACATGACCTTGTATGTATAGCATAGACTACTTAATATGACCTTGTATGTGTATCATCGACGGCTTAAGATGGACTTGTACGTAAAGTATGGACTACTTAAGATGGCCTTGTATGTATAGCATGGAGTGCTAAACATAACCCTGTATGTATAGCATGGACTGCTAAAGATGACCTTTTATGTGTATCATGGACTGCTTAAGATGGACTTGTACGTAAAACATGGACTACTTAAGATGGCCTTGTATGTATAGCATGGAGTGCTAAACATGACCTTGTATGTATAGCATGGACTGCTAAAGATAACCTTGTATGTACAGTATGAACTGCTAAAGATGACCTTGTATGTGTAGCTTGAACTACAAAAGATGACTTTGTTCGTGTCATGGATTATTAAACATAACCTTGTATGTATAGCATGGACTGCTAAAGATGACCTTGTATGTATAGCATGGACTGCTAAAGATGATCTTGTATGTATAGCATAGACTGCTAAAGATGACCTTGTTTGTATAGCAGGGACTGCTAAAGATGACCTTGTATGTCTAGCATGGACTGCTAAAGATAACCTTGTATGTACAGTATGAACTGCTAAAGATGACCTTGTATGTGTAGCTTGAACTACAAAAGATGACTTTGTTCGTGTCATGGATTATTAAAGATAACTTGTATGTATAGCATGGACTGCTAAAGATGACCTTGTTTGTATAGCAGGGACTGCTAAAGATGACCTTGTATGTCTAGCATGGACTGCTAAATACGACCTTGTATGTATAGCATAGACTGCTAAACATGACCTTGTATGTATAGCATGGACTGCTAAAGATGACCTTGTATGTGTCCTGGACTATTAAAGATAACTTGTATGTGTAGCTTGAACTACAAAAGGTGACTTTGTATGTGTAGCAAGAAACATTAAAGACTGCCTTGTTTGTGTATTAAGTAGTACTGAAATTATCTTAAACATGTAGCATGAAATCCTGAGGATGACCTTGAACACATAGCGAGCTCATTATACTGTGACACCTTCGTAAAGGTTTATAGGTCTATACCAGCTACACATAGGATTGTTCTTTAACTGCTTGTTAGTTTTTAGCTATCCTACACCTTACAAAAATTGTAGAACATCTTTTGAGAGGCCCGTAACACTGTAGCATTGCATGTAGAGCTATTACTGGAGTGGAT